GCTGCAGTACGCAAGGGAAGTGAATGACCGCACTGGTTTCTGAACGCTCGCGACATTGCTCGCGGACACGCCATACCTCGTATGGGGGCTCAGCTCTTGAGTCATTCTCCTTGATTCTCCTTAAAGAGATGCCCCGAGCGCCGGAACGAATAATTTGAATGAGGGAATGATTCGGGTGAGGAATGTCTGGATTCGGAAAAGCCTTCGTCACTCTCCGATATCGTTGACGTTCTGCCTCCAACGCTCCTCTGGTGCCTTAGTGTTTCCAAAACCAGAGGGAATTATCTTGCTCGGAGCTTTGGGATTTGGATCCGCGAGTCTGAACGGGAGTCTCCGCGCCGAGTTCGCAGAGGAGAACATTCCCTCATTTCGAAGTACTACCTACAGCAGAAAACAAGGAATACGATGCCTAGGCACAGGCTTCAGGAGGGAGTTCATGGAGATTTCCAAATCTGAAAGGAAGCAATCGGTGAGCCAGATTGTTTCGCCCTCGAGTGTCCAGCTTCCTTACGTGAACCTCCACATTCCACGGAAGGCCTCGGCCTAACTGAGAAAAATGCGAAATACATATTAGCGTCACTCCCTTCGCGGTTTGCGAATGATTGCAAGTCGAATTCAGCGCATTCGACTTACTTATGAATCATCCTTCCACGTACCATGGGGGAAACACGAATATCTCAGCATCGGGGGCCGCTCCAAAGTTTTTCGAAGTCGACGTTTTTTTTGGGTAAGGACATTGAGTGGACGCACATCGAGCGAATCGAGATGAATGGTCGGTTGCCAGGACTGCACTGAAATTGTTCCTTCGACTCGCAGACTTCCGGGGCCCCGAGCGTCATCCTAGCCCGTCAGGGCCTTGTAATAGTATGACAGCGGAGATCTTGACATGGGCCAGATCCATTCTACCTTGGATCGCGACGAGTCTGGAGCACGCGCTCGCTTATTCTATCATCTGACGTCGCGTTACTGCCTGCTAGCCGACTCTCGTTGTGTGCCGACCTTAATGCAATCAGATCCACTTCTTTCTTCCTTCCTCCCTCGAGTTCTCGTTGACGCGTCTCGGTTTATTGACGTCGTGCTGTCCATCAGCTAGTCGGAAATCAGACGCGTTAAGAAATATCACTTTGTCAACTCGAACAGATGAGACATTCAAAGTACACCGACAGCGAGTCGACGCCGCGCCGTTCCGGGGGACGGTCGCAGCTTTTGTTGTTCGTGGCGAACGATGATCTCAGTAGCTGTCAGTGGTAGAGGCTCCCTGCCAGATTGTTTTAGCATGATTAATGCTTGTATCAGAAATTGTGGACATCTCGTCGCCCCGGATTGACTACTCTGTCTACGGCGGATCATGCACTGCCAGATTCGTGAATGACTCCGAAATGCTGAAATATGGAATTGTGCGAGCTTTCCGCTTTCCGCTTTACAAGCGGAAAGCAACTCGACTGCCGCATCGGGGTCGTTTTTCGCACGTCAATCGTGAGCTCAAATCGTGCGGTGACGTACACCAGGCGAGACTATGCATAAGACGCGACAGATGCTCATATCCTCATATGACCTGGGAATCGGGGCCCGAAATGCTCTGGAAGACGATTAGGGTGAAGTTCTCGGTTCGAGACACGCCTTAAGTTGTTAATTCCAAAAATAATTATTATTGGTGCCCAGGTCTGAGATCCCCCTCGTAGAACTATCGAAAGTACGCGGAGAATCATTCGCCTCTCTGGCCGGCGAAGACAAGACGAGGACTTTGAAAAACACTGCTCAAGCTGAAGCGATTCCGAGAGAACGCTTCCATAAAGATTTCCAGCGATAACCTCATCTGACAAGTACAGTCCTGCATGGATGGTTCGTGTCAGTGATCTATTGGATTTGCTGCTCTTAAGCATCGCGAAAAGGAGGCCCTGGGTTCCTAGGCATGGGAGATGATCGCAATGCGTCCCTCAGAGCGCTCGATCAGATAGAGGATAGGCAGAAGCTCCCTGCGGACAGGGAGACACAGGGAAATCGGTGAACCGGTGAATGGTTCTCATAATATTAGAGTTCCGAGCCGTGTGGAGCCCCGCGGATTTCCATCGACTTTAGAGATTCCAATCACGGGTCCCCTCAATGGGAAAAAGTCGAGGTAGGGATCTGAGTCCTGAATTATTCGAGTCAGTGTCGCGGGGGGGGATCATTCTGACAGGGTAGGGATGCGAGGAGGGAATCATGCTATCGATGGCGTGCCGAGGTGGAATCATGGACCTGAGAGTTGATGTTAGAGTTGGCTGCAGAAAAGTTCAAATGCTCTTCAAAAAGGACCCAACGATGATTCCATGCCATTTAGCGGAGCGAGCCGACATGTCGGCGCCAGTGACGCTTCGTACGCTGCGAGCCGTGAGGGCCGTGAGGGTTTTCTCGACGTTCTCCCCCTCCACTTCGGTCCTTTCCATGCAAAATCCGCTGCAGCTCGGCGGGATTCGTTCACGTGTTCCGTTGGGGCTCTCTGAGTGCTTGGCTGCGCGCGAGAAGAGAAAACTCTTCGATAGACGTACCATTGAAGACAGTGATCTCTCTTCATTAGTTCACCGACAGCTAGCCGGTCCCTCAGTTCTCTGGTCGACCGTCATTTCGACAGACTTGTCTGTTCCTCTGAATCAAACTTTTGTGCCTGTGTTCCCGTGCTTGAGCGTTCTGTTAGATAATTCGGCTCCCGAGGGAAGGAATAGACTCCCGGAGACGAATCAGTTAATTCACATCTGTGGTTCGATCAGGCAGTGCGTTAAAAGAATATGATTCCGAGCTGGGAAGCCTCCGTATTTCTCAAAGGAATTTATTCGACCAAAGACTCTCAAGGAAGGAAGCTCCGTTGAGGTTAACTTTCCAGTCTGGCCTGAATTGATCGAAAATTTCGCTTCCACCGAAAACTCGCATGAACGGCACCATGACTCGGATCATCGATCGCGTTCACTTCCGAAGGTAAATTTGACGAACCGATCGAATCGGCCTCGTTTCTTTTCTGTCAGATTTCTTCGACAACTGAGAACATACACGTCGAGAACCAACGAGCGAGCTGCGCGTTTCGATATCCCGAAAGGTTGATCCTTCAACACCCGTGGCTCGAGTGATAAGTCCGGCTGATGGCTGTCAATGTATTGTTCGCCTGTATCGACAATGACACCTAAATCTTTACCATCGCTCCACCGTGATCGGATCGACGACCGCGGCGTAACCTGCGCATGCGCTCTATGAGAGCCTGAAAAATTCGACTGAGCTCGCCGCTGCCCTGAGAGAAACCGTGCCGAGGATTGAACTTCCGACGGCGCAAGGTCGGATTTCATCAGTCGTTTAGCTGCCGTCTGGTCGAAGTATTCCTCACTGAATTGTTATTTTATTTACGGGATGATGTTTCATCGCCTCCGCGCGATTATTTCAACTCTGGACCAGTCGAGACACCTAAAAAGTGAGCGTGCCCGGATCGGGTTTGACTGCTCCGGTAGCTCTCAACAAAGGAAATACTGCTGATCACGAGAAACTCGTCAGCCGATGTTCGACCCTATTCCTGTATTATGTTGTTTGGATGAGGTCGACGACTCCATCAGCAGCTTCAGTGGGCTCGCTGCTTGATTAGTAGCTTATCTTGCTGCGCTGCTATTCGAAATCATTCTCAGCAGCGAGAGCATCGTTCATTATCATATCAGCGGCTATTATCTTCTCGCTCACCGGCCGAGAACCTCTTGAACTTTGGTTAGAGTGCTCATTTCCTGATTTAATACCTTTTTTTTATTAGCGAGCACCGAATATAGCCGAGGAGAGAGCTTCCTCGTTTCCGCGAATTCGAGGCCGTCGAGGAGGAGATCAGACCTACAGGTGACTGGTCCCCGGGTGCGAGAGGATTCACCAATCGAGTGATGCTCCTCGTTGTGAATATTTGCAAGTGCGGAATCTCGATACTCCAGAGGCCCCTCCTCTATAAGAAAGCTGGCGACGCGTCGCCGGCTCGAGCCTCGGATGGACGAGGAATCGGCGACTATCTACTTTTCCGAAAAGGGAGACAGCGACTTCGTAGCCATAGGCTTACTGTTTCAACAGACCGACGTCTTAGAAAAACCGCACGGAACGCTCTCATCTTGCGCAAGGCCTCAACTTTGCAACCGATTCGCTAAAGCGGAAATGAGAATCTGTGACGCATCTGCGAACGAAAAGCCAACGGTTCGTTTCCCTCGGCCGTCGGCCAGGTAGATAGTCGGAGAGATGGACAGACCAAGCGCCGATCGACCGAGCTACCCGCAAGGCGATAGACTGCGCAGTGTACCCAGCTTTGAAAGGCGCCGCGGGTCAGCATGCGTCCCCTGTCGATAGTAAACTGTTTCGAACAGACTGCAGATAATTCCAAGCTGAGTTATTAAGGCGAGAGGGCAACAACCGGAAGCCGCAGAAAGATTGCTTCTTGTCAGTCTCCCTCGGCCGCCCATCGTGCAATATGAACCTATCGGCCACGCACAGATCGCTCGAATATTCTCAAGCTCAAGCTTTGCTCGCACTGCGCGCTTTTTGCGTGTCCTCGGTGACAGACTAGATGAAGACGAACATTGGCTCCATTTCGGGAACGCCGGACAGACTCCGAACGTCAGCATGGCGATCTGACTGTAGTGCGTTCCAATCGACATCGCAAAGCCACGGGCGGTCACGGCTTGACAAGTTTCGAGCAGCTGGAAAGATCATTCGCTTCGGGGACCGAAACCTGTTCAAACAACACCTCGCTCCTCGCTGCTTGGAGAAACCTCCGAGTCAGCCCGGAATGGAGATCCGCGACCAGCGAGCAGATTCCGATGGTTCGCGGAGATGAGCATCAAGTAGCGTATTCTTGAGCCCTTGGGGAGAAGAGACGAAGCGTAGACGAGCGACTCGAACAGAATTTCTACATTCGTTTCAGGGAAGTGAAGCATTGCGAAGACGGGTCGAATAATTCCGTGAACAAACTCCTCACAGCGACAGCCGCGCTCCTTCATCAACACAAGGAAAAACAGGATAAGGAGAAAGAGCGTTTCCAAGATGAGAGGGAAGTCGACGAGAAAAAAATCGCTTGGCCCGCCGATAAAGATGCTTATGAGCTTGGCGAGGTCATAGGTGAGTTCCTCGAATTTTCCTCGGAGATCTCGACCGTCCGACAGCTACGGAAGGATGAACGTTAGCGGAAGACCGCGTCGGAGCCCCGCGCCGCGAGTTCGGCCGGGTCGATAGCCGATAGCCGTACTAAAGACATGGAAAATAGATAAGGCCTACTCCCAGTCATCAAAATCTACAGTTGGCTTTCTTCCCGCTCAAAATCCATAGTGACTCGACCAAGCCGTAAAGTAGGAGAGTCTTGTCACCGATGTAACTATCTAGCGAACCCGTGGATTTGTCAGGTGTTCTCAGAACAGATTCTCCGTGATTGAGAGGAAACTCACACATCCGACCCAGACCATGGTCACAATGGAAACATGTGATCCGTTCAAGAGCATGCACTATGTGCTTGAAAGGCCGGACACAATCCGAAGAATGAGTTTTTGTCTCGCTCTTCGGTATCGTGAAAATTTAGAGGAGCTGAGATCGGAATGAGTAGAGCGTTTACGAGTTGAGCCCTCATATTTCAGGTATCGGTGCAACGGCCGTCGTTCACGCAGCATTCTGTCGACCCCGGGGGGAAAGATGTGCTATAAAGCGAATTAATCTTGAGAAATGCAACACATCGATGGACGAACTTCTCAAAGAGATTCAGGCAATGCGCGCCTGCAATCACCCGAACGTCGTTTCGTATTATTCCTCGTTCGTTGTGCGAGACGAACTGTGGCTCATCATAAAACTTCTTGCCGGCGGCAGTTTACTCGATATAATCAAAGTGAGTTTACATATAGTACTCGGATCGGGGATCCCGTCATGGACGGAAGTGGCACGTATGCTGCGGCGTACCATAAAAAATTGAATAGCTCGAGAAGGAAGGCTCGAACGAAGATTAAGGGTGAGGATTCCTCGTTGTGACAGTGGAATCTCCTCCGCAAGTGAGAACATCGAAATCGATCTGACAAATCTCAGTTGAGGATTAACCTCGGTCGGAGTAGAATGATGTGGATAGAAATCAGGAATCTTTCGTTCTGGGAATCCGCCGTGACTGATTGAGTCTGCGGGATGGCGGCTTGCTGTCTCTTCGGCCCTGATCCTCGCGACGAGCGCCTCTCCGGGTGCTCCGAGTTCAGAATCAGAGGGAGGTGGAAGGCGTGGGCCGGCTTTGCTTCATGCGAGAGGTGCCCAGTACGGATCTGAATCAGCCTCTAGAATTGTCCCATGATCGTCATACTACAAATGTTGCATGTTATTCCACAGCATCAAATGAAGGCCGAAGATTGCAAACACGGTGTTTTCGACGAAGCAACGATAGCGACTGTTCTTCGCGAGGTTCTCAAGGGTCTCGAATACTTCCACCACAATGGCCAAATACACCGTGACATCAAGGCTGGCAACATTCTGCTCGGCGAGGATGGCACTGTACAGATAGCAGGTATCGCGCGTTTGACCTTCTTACATTTCAAATGAGTTCCGGCTCGAACGTCAGCCGCCAAAAGGAAACTCGAGCGGAACGTGATCTCCTAGAGCGTTCTTCCCGCAGATTTCGGAGTATCCGCTTGGATCAACACCGATGGCTTCAATCGAACGAAGTCCCGGCACACGTTCGTTGGAACACCTTGCTGGATGGCTCCTGAAGTCATGGAGCAAGTTACCGGTTACGACTACAAGGCGGATATATGGAGCGTCGGGATCACCGCGCTCGAACTGATAACCGGAAGCGCACCTTATGCGAAATACCCACCAATGAAAGTTCTCATGTTGACTCTACAAAACGAACCGCCTACGCTTGATACGTGTTCATCTGTTCGCGACCAGTACAAGGTACGGAAGGCCATATTGATTCGGTCCGGACAGACTTCCCGCCTCGTGCAGGCTCTTTGAACCTCTATATAGAGCCGGAAATTCACTCGCCTGGTGATTCGCCTCCATGGGAATGTCAAATCTTAGTTTTAAACTTTCCGTACACAGGTGTATGGCAAGACGATTCGAAAAATGATCTCAGATTGCCTCCAGAAGGACCCGTCAAAACGACCCACAGCATCGGAGCTCTTGCGCCATCCTTTTTTCAAGAAATCCAAAGATAAGAAGTATCTGACTCAAACTCTCCTACTTTGCACTCCAAAAATGGATCAAAGGGCACAGAAACTCCGAAGGTCGAGAAGAGGCAGCGAGCTGCTGGGTCTCAAATACAGGTAATGATAGCTTCCTTCTCGTGTTTCGCCTTAAGCCACGTATGCTCCAACCCTGCTCATCGGCGATTTATCAGCGCGTCTAGGCTTTCTCCAGACAAAATTAGAATAGAAGGAGTTCTTGATTAGATCTCGCCGTCTCCAATCAAGACAAAGGTCGCTCAGGAGCTTCTTGGCGCAAATTCTCTTGGATCGAAACACGCATATGATCGAAATGATTACGGTATCTGATCGAACGTGACTCTTCATCGCCTTATCATCAGCAGACGGAACTCCCGGAGGGGATCTCTCAATCCCGATACGGGGGACTGGGTTTGGTCCGAAGATGAGGAAGAAGACGACGAGGAGGACGAACAGCACAATGTCGATCAGAACGACGACGAGGACTCCGATGACGACGATCAAGTCGTCCACATAGCTTCTCCGGAGGAAAAAGCCAGGAGACAACGGGCCATCGAACAAGCGAACCAAAGCACATCGTCTTCCGACGATGAGACCGAGAGGAGCGAGAAAGCGTCTTTAGCTACGATTGCTGAGCCCAAGGTTGGTTCGAATTCAGTGCTCCTACATGAGTTTCCTCCTGAGTCGTCGAGAGGTTAAAATGAATCCAGCATTAAGTCGAGAGCTTTTTTCGCAGTCGACCGAGCCCGCGGTTGACGTACCCCAAATCATGATCAATGACAATGTGGAGATCAATCTGGCGCTCCGGATACGGAACCACCGACGAGAATTGAACGACATAAAGTTCCAGTACTTGAAGAGCAGGGACAGCGCGCAAGAATTGGCTGCAGAACTCGTGGGAGCCGGTCTCGTGCCTGAGCGAGACCAGGACATTGTCTCTCGGAGTTTACAGCATCTCGTGCAGAAGGCAGAGCCCGGGAAATCGATAGTTTTCCCACTATCCCCATCTCCAGCGTGGCCCGAGCCCGACCAACAGCGTCTGATAGGCTTCGCTCAAATCAAAATCGTTGCTGATTGAGGAATTCCCTGACCGAGTGTTTTTCGGGAGACCTGATCCTTGTTCCATAGGAAGAAAGTGCCATCGAGTTCCACGCTGTTCCGGCTCTCATTCAATGAGGGGACATATGCAACACCATTCTCCTCTATCATTCGAGCATGGGTTCGAGTGGGAGAGCCTTCTATGATGAGTGCGTTAGCGAATCATGTTTGTATATTTCTTGAAATTGACTTCGAAGATCTTGGAAATCTGAGAAGGGCTCCTCTCTGGGGAACTTCGTAATACTCGACCCATTGCGATTCTCCAAGGATTCTGAGAGCCTTCCGTAAGACTTTCATGTGAAGAGCATTGACTTCCCGGGAGATTCCCGGCCGCATCTCTTCAAAAAGGGGTCCCTAATCAGCGACGAAGGAAAACCTCTGATGTCGACGAAGATCCGAGAATGCTAATAAACACATAGCGTGATGGAAAGTCCGTCGAGTGTTTTGCGTAAGCTGAACGTTTATTCGTCTGACTCCGAGCTTCGTGAAGACAGTTACACAAGCACGGATATTCACTTTCCATTATCTACGAACACACAAAATTTAAGAACTAGGTATGGGAAAACATAGACGTCGATTACAGTATGGGAGGGAAGCATGTCTCTCCGTCTTACATATGTATATATTTATGTGAGTATCGAACAGAGTCGAGGGGAGGAGCCCTATATACAACGTCTGGGAATCTACGATGGGGAAAACCGGACTTGTGGCTGGTGTCGGAGAATTTTACAAATCAGAACGCGGGTTGATCATTTACATAGCGTCTGCCACCGCTACCGAAGGAGTGCAATCTCAAGAAAACGTGGAAAACGTTCAGATCTATGTTCCGTGAAATGTCATAGGAAAATTATTGATGGGGCTCGGCCAATCGCAGCCTAGGTATGTATCCATTCCTATGAGGAGTACTCCCCGGAGCTAGGAGATGGCGCGATTGTCGGCATTGATCAACAACTGGAAGTCTAATATGGGGCGCAAGGTAAAGTTCATGGTACGAGACGAGATGAGAGAAACTCATCCAGTGTGGGAAAACTTGGGAAATTCAACCCCTCTCAGGTGAATAAAATCTCTCCGATGTACGAAATCGACGGTCAAGACGCTGGTGGGAGGAATGTTTCGACCACACTCAGAAATCCGAATCGGCGTCGAAATCGTCATCGCTCTCTTTTACGAGTTTCTTACGAGCCCGCTTCGGGGGTTTCTTCACCGGCGAATCGTCAGAGTCCGAGATGAGATTGACTTTTTTGGCTTTGCCTTTCGGCTTCGGCGTAGCTTCGAAATCCGAATCACTGTCGTCTTTCTTGGCCTTGCTCTTGACACTCTCGATGAACTCGCCGAAGTCATCGTCGTCTTCCTCTTCGGAGTCTTTCGGCTTCTTCTTCGCCTTGGGTTTCGGAGCGGCGCGAGGTTTCGCGGGAGCTTTAGCCTTAGCGCCCGGCTTGACGGTCGAGGTTCCGGCCGACATGAGAGCATCGAAAGCGTTCGACGCGGACTCGCTGCCCACGTCTGATTTCTTAGTGCGGGCGCTCAAGGGGACCAATTCCGCTTCAGAATCACTGGACACCGCGATGGGTGCGGGGCTCGCGGCCTTCGGCTCTGCTTTCTTCGGAGACGGAGTCGGACTCGCGTCCATCTTCTCGTCGCCGCTGTCGTCAGCGAATGCGGTCTCCTGGAACGGACGATACCACGATGATTATAATTATCCTAATTATTCATTTTTATAGACATATCGAGGAATCTTCTGCCATAGAGCAACTGATGCCGCGGCGGACTCGAATTTTCATTCCGTGAAAGCTCTCAAACCTTGTTATCGGAGTCGTCATCGCTGAAATTGTATTTGATCTTGGAGGATGCCGCTCTGCGACTGCTCTGCCTCTCCGGGGCTGCCGCTCTAGGGGCGGCAGCCTCGAACATGCCTTCGTCGCTGTCCATCGAGGCCTCCGAGTCACTGAAGTCCCTCTTTTTGAAGTTGATTTTAGTTTGCTTCATTCCATCCGATTTTTTCGGGGCTCTCTTAGCGGCTTTCTTCGCGGGCGGCGCCCCGGCTTCACCGTTCTCGGCTTCCTCTTTGGGCTCGATTTTCGGATCGACTCCATTCTCACCATTGGCTTCTACCTCAGCCTTCTTGCGCTGTGGAATAGAATTGAGAGAAACATTAGAATCGGCTACCGAAGTTATTTGACGCGACTCCAGGATGGAGCGAGCTCTGGGATAGCAGGATGGAAAGACGGATCTCACACAAAAGAAGATTATATGCCCGAGCAAAAATATGCCATAGCATTTATTTTCTAGAATTTGAATAAAAGGCATCATCTATACAAAAATATGCTACTTCACAGAATGTATCTGGCAAATTTGGAAAATTTCAAAAGGCTACGGGATGCTATGGGCAGCGTACAGAAATTCTTGACTGGATACGCGGGCAGACCTCTTGATAAATTCGAACCCCCGAGAGTCATCGGGAGTCGATCTCGTCTAGCTACAGCGTGTATCCGTCTGAATCCTCGCCACATCTCTTCGTCTTCTTCCCAACTACTTACAGCCCGCTTAGGACCTTCGGTCTTCGCTTTGATGGCCTTCGCGACTTTCTCTTTCAGAGCTTCATCGATCGTGGGAGCCACGCGTTCTCCGTCGGCCGATGGAAGGTGTTCGGGATTCTTGCTAGAGAAGGCTCTGCCGCCCTTGGTCGTTTTTTGGGCGACGGACTTTTTCTGAAACGTCAAAATCTGAGTGAGACTGAGTGGCAGCACTCAACGGAGGAGGTTTCGCGTATAATTCTTCACCCAACAGTCGCTGATGCGAGTATTCGACGAGAAAAATGAGTTCCCATCCTATATTTGATACTCACGGCGCTCTTTTGCATGTCTTCTATTTCCTTGCGTTCTACTTCTTCGAGTTTCACCAGGAAAGCATCCAAGTCAGTACGCCATAGATCCTTGGGAGTCTTCTTCTTGATCGCATCGAGTTCCGCCAATTTCAAGTCCCGCTTCTTGAGGAGTTCCTCTTTCTTTTCGTAGGTGAGGTTCCACATGGTCATCCCAAGCAGATAACCGTAATCCTTGGTCTGAGCGTCTTCTCTTGCTTCAGCCGAGTTTTCGGACTCCTCGTCTTCCAAACCCGCCTCCGCTTCCTTTTCTTGGTTGGTGGTGTGTTTCTCCTTCCACCTGAGCATAGGATCCGGATCGTAACCCTTATCGACAAGGATTCTCATCATCTCCTTTCGCTTCTTATTTTCCACATGTATTTTGCCGTCGCATTTCTCGACAATGAAGCGCGCCTGGTTCGAGAGTTTCTCCGCTTCGGCGGTCAGGAGTCCGATCAGGTACTCGCGTCTTCGAACGTATCCGTCCAGACGAACGTTGTAGAACTCCTGCATGATCTCCTCCGGTGTTTGATAGAAACGTATGCAGCCATTGGAGTCGAATAATACCATCGAGGTATTAGCGAGAGTGGTCTGTAGTTTAAACACCTTGTGTAGACCTTCATCCTCGGCCCTGCGTAGATTACCCTCGTCCATCTGCACAACGAATCGGACCGTGGTGTCCGTGTTGTACTCCTTGTAGTCTTGTATGATGCCGGGGATTTTATCGGATCCGTGGAGCAGAGTCTCGAGGACGTTCTCCTTATATTGTTGAGTCCATGTCTTCACCGGGAGTTCAGTGATCTCGAGTTTCTTGTTCCCGAGGATCGAGACTTCACCGTAGACGACGTATCGGGTTCTTTCTTCGTCCAGGACGTGAATTTCTCCCCGGAAGTTCTTATACCAAGGGTGCATCTTCTTCAGAGGCTCGTCGTTGAGCAGACGCTTTATGTTGGCGACGACCTCTCTCGGGTTGTAGTTTTGGACTTTGGTACTCCAGCCGGTTCCGATACCTTCGGCACCGTTGACGAGCACCATCGGAATGATGGGTAGGTAGAAATCGGGTTCGATCTTCAGATTGTCATCGAAGAGATAATTCAAAACAGGATCATCGGACTCCGGGAACAGATGTCGCGCGAGCGGACTCAGTTTGGTGAAGATGTATCTCGGCGAGGCCGAGTCCTTGCCTCCTTGGAGTCGAGTACCGAACTGACCGATGGGTTGCAACAAGTTGACGTTATTGCTGCCGACAAAATTCTGCGCCAAATTCACGATTGTCATCATGAGCGACTGTTCGCCGTGATGGTAGGCCGACATTTCGGCGACCGAACCAGCCAATTGAGCGACTTTCACTTCTCGTTTATCGTTCCTCTTGAAACAGGTGAACAAGACTTTACGTTGACCGGGTTTGAATCCATCGATCAACGACGGAATGGAGCGTTCGTTATCCATGTTGGAGAACAAGATGAGCTCCTTATGGACGAAGTCGTTGAAAGAAACGGCTCGAGTCTCTTTGCCGTACAGATAGATCTCAGGCAGACCAAGTGTCCTCCTCTGCTTGCGATCCTCCATGCCGTTGGTGAGCCACGTCTTCCGCTCATCGACCATCTTCTTGGAGAAGGCCAATTGGATGGCGTTATCGTCTTCAGCCCCAGCGTAGCTGAAGGTGATTCGATGACGACGCATGTCCGAAAAATATTCCTTAGCCTCCTTGGCCGTCGACGTACCCAAACCTGTGGGAGACGTATTCGATTAGTGAATCATCGGATCGGATCAGGGAGGGAAATCATGTCATGCGGCAGAGTTCGACGTGCCCATGAAAGTGATTGAGGCTCTGCTCAGGATCTACAGGACGGAGGGAAGAAAGTCCTGGTCATGAGGTGAGGGCCTCCGGGGGAGGAGATTACCTTTGTAGTACTTGATACGGAATTTGTTCCAATCCGGGGTGGCAGCTTTCCATTCTTCGAACTCAGGCAATGAGAAGAACGAAAACTCTTGGTTGCCTTTGATGGCCTTCACGATTGGCGTGATGAACTCCTCGAGGAAATTCATTTTCAGAAGAGAAGGCCAGTTGTGATGAATGAAGTTAATCAGCAGACCTTTGATGTGCGAACCGTCTTGATCCTTGCAATCGAAGAAAGGAATTATTCAAAGCGGACCCGTTAGCTGGGGAACAATCGCGATGGAAGCGTAAGCTTCCGACAAACCTTCGTAGCTGCTCACCTGATCGGTCATTATCATGATTCTACCATAACGGAGGGTTTTCATGTCTTCTGGGGTCTCATACTTCTTCTTGTATTGCAGACCGACGATCTTAATAATGTTGTTAATCTCAGCGTTCTCGATAATCTGCTTGTGGGTGGCTTCTCGAACGTTCAGGATTTTTCCCTTCAGGGGGAAAACTCCGTACTTGTCTCTGCCGATAACTCCCAGTCCGGAAACAGCCAGTGTCTTGGCTGAATCTCCCTCGGTGAGGATCAGAGTGCAGTCTATACTCCGCACCGTACCGGCATCGTTAGCGTCCTCGAGTTTGGGAATACCCTTAAGTTTAGAGACCTTGCTCTTTGAGCATTTCTTGTTCATCTCTTTCTGGGCCTTGAACTGGACCCAGCTCATGATGGCTTCAACGATTCCACACTTCAGAACGTTGTTCTGGAATTTTTCACTGACAACACACTTGGAACCAAATTGTTTCGCTTGTTTCGTCATGTTCTCCTTAGTCTGCGAGTCGAAAGTCGGATTCTCGATAAGACAGTTGATGAATATCCACATGTGATCTCGAATTTGTTTTTTGCCGATATTCACGCCGGCTTTGTTCTTCTTCTTGACTTGCTCGGTAAGCTTCTTGCACAGGGAGTCCACCACGTACTCGACGTGAGTACCGCCCTTCGTGGTCGCGATGCTGCGGATAGAAAATTCTCGTCAATCCGGGTCAATCGATAGGACGCTGAGAGACTCCGATTCCAATCAGAACAAAATCATTTCCGAATTAGCTTGAGAGGCTCACTTGTTCACAAAACTCATCTGTTTGAAGTCGCCCTCGGGGGACAGACAACATGCGACCTCCCACCTCTCGTTCACCTGCTCGTGTACCACCACGAGCGGTTTGTCGCTATCTTCGTTCACGCATTTCGACGTGAACATCTGCACGTAGTCTTTGAAGGATTTTATGGGCAACCTGGAGAAAGGTTCGATTATTGACTCGCGCCTAATGATTTTCATAGCTCGGACATTGAGAAATCACACGATCAAGGAGGGGTTCGAAGCGCTTGTTGGAAAGGGATCGTGCATTCGATGACAAAATGGACGACCGCACAAGCTTTCGGCTCAATTACCTCGTGCCATTCAAGAAGACTTTAACGCCCGGGGTGCAGCCCGCGACATCGTACGCGCGCCTGCTGATTAGCGCAATGAAATCCTTGTCCATCTTCTCCATTTTGAATTTAGACAAGTCCGGGTAGAAGGTAATCTTCGTGTAGTCTTGACTGCTGTCGACGATTTTCGGCTCTGCCGTGTTGGTCATGTTGTCGCTCCATGACTGTTTGAATGCTCTTTTTTGGTCTCTGGAGGCGGTCTCCACCGTGAACTTCGTGGAGAAGATGTTGCACAACTTCGCTCCGTAACCGTTCCTGCCACCAGTTACTTTCTTCTCTTCATCGTTGTAGTTCGACGATGTGAGCAAATGACCGAAAATCAGTGTTGGAACGTAACATTTCTCTTTCTGGTGCATGACAACAGGAATTCCCTTCCCGTTATTCCAGACGGAGATCATGTTCTTCTCAGGATCGATCTCGATCTTGATGCAATCCTGATTCTTGTCTCTATGCTTGTTATCGGCGGCATTGACGAGGATTTCGTCGAAGATTTTATACAGGCCGGGCACGTATGTGATCTCTCGCATGACCATGCCTTCTTGTTCGCCGTCGAAGACCCACATCTTCTGCGTGAGGGGTTCCACCGAACCGATGTAGGTGTCGGGACGCAGGAGCACATGCTGGGAAACGATTGAAATATTTAGAACCCGAGATGTACTGTCCGACGGGATCGACAGCTGGCTGAGAGGACAACACGGAATATGATCGAATCGGGGTTTTGCACCGATGGCCGCGTTTCCCCGAGAACGAACATGTACACAGTTGCCTTCGAATGCTCCTATTTCGCTGAATATCAGAGACAGAAAGAAAGAATGAAAGATTCACGCATGTTCTCTACATCGGTGTTCTTTATGTCGCCCTTCTAGAAATGAACCGTCGGATAGTACGGATGTTGAAAGCATCAGGAAAGGCACGAGCGAGACTTTCTGCCGATGTGACGCTTCCCCGATAGCCCAGACTTTTGACATACTCATTGTGAGGATTTTCTGGCGACGGTCTGTTCGCAGATGATTTGCGCAGACCAGTCTGCCGCTCCGGGCCAACGACCGCTAGAGAAAACAACAAATGCAAGCAAATTCAAGCGATATCAACGATGGCAGCGTGAATGCCCCCGTCGAAAGCACAGCCTCGACTTCACAATCTGGACGTCTCAGCTCCGATAGGTCAGCATTGACAAATCGACCGCTTTTTAAACTCCAACGGTTCTCGCAAGGGACGCCACTCTCCGAAAGTCGCCGGTTCTCACCTCAAGCTGCGTTTTCTTCTGATATATCTTCTCGATATCTTCGCCCATTTTAAGGGCTTGACGGAGCCGACGAGGTTCTGATTAACGTAATCTATACGTAGCACAAGATAGACAGTTAACCTCTGCTGTACTCTGCAATCAATGCGTCGAAACGGCTCCGAGCAGCGGGACCACCACAAGCACTGGACAATGGCGCCAAGCACGATCGTCGCCGCAAGCCTACATCGCCGAAACCTCGCACCGCGCTAATCGACGGAAGCGAGCCCACGGGACAGACGGTGAGAATTCCGGAAGAACGTAATCCCCCGACAGGCTGGGACCGTCCTCTGAGCCATGATTTATCTTATCGAATCTGATCAGAGCAGCTCACATCTCAGGATCGGAGAATTCCTATTCAGAGGAAATCCGACCAAATCAGTTCCAGTGATCTCGTTGACGGCTCCGTCACTTAAGAAGACTGCGCTCACTCGATTAGATTCATAACAAGTAAACACAGACATTCTCTTCTCAACGCAAGACAGAGGACACAGCTGGCTAGGATTTTTCGAATACTCGTATCCTCTGGTAATCCTCATTTCGATGACGATACAAGGAGAAATCGGCGGATTCTACGATACTTCAGTGAAAGATCACCAAAAGCTGTGAGAAATTGAGGGAACCCTCCTCTCCGAATCTACATTCGAGGCATTTCGACCCATCCGAAGTTTACGGCCTCGAAGGCATACCCAGCCCCATAATGACCGTGAGTGTAGTGCGAATTCCGATAGATCCCGGGCTTGGAGCAGGGAAGGCGAAGTGCGATGGGTGGAGAAAGCTGGTCCGATTGCCTCCGGAAGACTTTTTCATTTTCCTCCTTTCTGGCGGCTCATGGGTCACCAGGTACCGCGGCCGTTCTGCTCCTACTCACAAAGAACGTGTTGCTTGTGAGTTAGCTCTCTCGAGCGATCCGAGGCTGGCAGTCTCGCTGCCTCCACGAGATCCCGTTCTCGATCAGTCGAGTGAGTGAGCGAATTCCCCATGTGCATGTCGCATTCGTGCTGCCCATTGCCGTTTCCGGAGCCTCGACCGAAACTAGCTGCCAAAGGTAAATAACGGGGGAGCCATTGATTGCATCATCCGCTCCGAACGCCTCGGCACATATGGGGCTCACCGACTCTGATAATCTCACCGGCTGATATTCGATACTGATGAATCGACCATGAGAACAACATTCGGGCTTCGTGGGGCTCCGACGCTGACATTCATCGACTCCACGAGTGGTAGGGCAGCATATTGTAGCTCACGGTAGTGTCTTTCCGAACATCTCGGGCTGTCACTTCCAGCGGCGTGCGATTTCTCTGATTCCGATGCGGCAACGATCCGAGGCCGTGATCAGGAGCTCAGTCAGTCGAGATCCCATCCGCTCCGGATTGGCAATCTGCTGGAGGAGCCGCAGCCAATTAACCGGGTCCCGGAATTTACTCTCGAGTGGGTCATGCGGTGCGGGCGCACCCGAATAACGTGACGATTTCGTGGAGGGCAGGACATCACGCGTCTGGAGACTTGAGTCTGCTCCCCGGAATAAAGCGTCGACGCGGAATTCGGAGCGTGCATGGGATCCATCGTGTTTGGGTTCGATCGGGTTTTTAGGTTCGAGACGCGCGATTCGCACAATTCATCTCGAGTGAAAGTTCTGAGAAGGCCTCTCAACGGGGGCAGACCAGGGACCGAGAGAGACTTTCGGAATCATGTTGAGGTTGAGGGCTCTCACGATGTCTGAATCCTTTCAGAAAAAAACGAAGAGCAAGAAGAAATCCGTAGCTCCGGCTCAACCAGACCGACAGAAGGACCCGGTGCCTCAAGTCCAAGGAGAGAATCAGAAGGAGCTCCAGAAGCTTGTGCCGAACATAACGCCGGCTCCTGCTCCTGAAAGCGTCCAGAAACCTATCGAGATCAGAGAAGTTGCGAAGCCAAAAGTACCGGTAGGTCTCGGCTCCGATTCTCGAGCAATGGTCGCCCGCCCCTCTGATCTCGTCCCGATGTACCTACTTGGCGAGATCGGGGTTCATTAGAGTTTCTGAAACAGTTCGCTCTCAGCTGTCGGACTGAGCGAATTCTTTCGTCCTCAGGAAGTGTCTATCATACCGATCGGCGTGAATATCATACCGGCGCCGGCACCATCGGCAGAAAGTGCAGCTCCAGGTAAGAAGAAAAAGAAGAAGCGAAACAAAAAGAAGGGTGGCCAACAAGAATCAGGAGAGTCCGAATCTTCGCCAGCCGTGACTGTTATACCCCTGAACAAAGACCCCGGCACGATCCCTGCTCACCTTAACCCCGCTGTTGTTCTAGCTCGACGTAAGTTTACTCACAGGTCTAACTTCGTTTGTTATGCCGTGCAAATCTTAACTTGAGCCAGATGCCGTCTTCAGTCCTAGACATGATCTAAGGCTTCCCTTGAAATACAGAGAGTGAACCCACGGGTCCAAAGGTCATCGAAGCGTCACCGGTCGTGACGCTCATCGGATCGAACAAGAAGGCTCAGGGACACGGCGCCCTCTACAGTCCTCCCCCGAGACCGCAATTAGTTCAAACGCCGCAAGAGGTGAGTGCGGTTTTCGGTCAGAAGCATTTCGGGACACGGAGTCGCCTGTCGCCGATGATACTCGGTTCCGGGGAACTTTTTCCAAGACGGTCCTTCTCTCGCAGGAAGTCGTGCCCGACGACAAACTCCAGACCATATCCGGAGGGTTCAAGTTCCCTTCTTCCCTACAACCGGTTTTCGAGACGCCGGAGAGCGTAGCCGTGTCCACGGGCGTGGTATTAGACACAGAGACGAGTGGAGTCCTGACCATAGTCCCCGTTCGCCAAGACGGAGTCAAGAAAAGGAGAAATAGAAATAAGATTCTGCCCCCTTGCTGCGAGCTTAGAGGTACCTCCGGACTCGAAGTCGTCTGTCCTCACTCGAATAAACCGATTCTGAATTACAACACCGTCGTGAATGAAGACATTGAAAAAAATCGACAACTCCAAGAGACTCAGGAATCACTCCAGGTGAGCAGGGTGTTCGAGCTGTTGATCACAAAAGACGAGTTCACCCCCGAAGCGCATCCACTAAATAGACTCTCATTGGCATTCCCACAGCGAATAGAAGACCCTGAGGTTCTTGGTTCGCTCGCCAACATTGGTCATTCGGTCACTATAAAGTTGATCGGTGGAGGCGTCACCGAGAAAACCGTTCACAACAGCAAGACAGGACCGGGAATCGGAAGTCAGACAATCGTCGTTGAGGCAGCCGACGCCATGAGCAAAGAAAAAGCCGATAAGTCAGCCCCGGTCGTGAACGGCATGAAGCCGGAAGACGCTGAAAAAGCTCGCCTGAAAGCAGAGCGAAAAGCTGCTTTCGTGAGTATCGTGCTTTCCTCCCGCATTCACTCGTGATTTTCATTTGCTCTGCCGAATTCGAAATCTCTTGGTTTTGTCTCCGTGTTGATGGAGCATGCTCTTCCAGGAAGCGAAAAGAGCCGCAGAGCAGGCCGCCGATAAAGATGGGGCTGGCAAGGAGAACAAGAAGGAGTTGACGAAAGCTGAGCGGCGCGCCATACAGGAAGCTCAGAGAGCGAAGAAAGCCCAAGAGAAAAAGGGTCCCGCCGACTCGAAAGACGTCAAGGCAGAAGAGAAACCAGCGGCGAAGTCTGGGTCTACCTCAGATTCGCCATCGAAGCCAGAAGAGAGCCCTTTGGGGAAGAAGAAAGATATGCCGACCAAGAAAGTGTCTTTCGCCGACAGTAAGTACAGAGACCATCCTCGCGATATGATGATATGGTGCAGATTTGATTGATCGTTGATTCTCGCGAACTTACAACGACTGCTTTCCTCGTAGTGAAATTCGCTGCGAATCCCTTCGTCAACATGCACAAGCGACGAGACAACATCGGCAACTTGTTTAGAAGCGTGGACAGGAGGAAGAAGGACGACGGCGGTGGCGAGAAGAGGCCATCGGTACATCCCGCGATTCTGCAGCTCGGTTTCCAAATCGCGGACGGCGCTGTTTCTGGAGCCAACGACCGATGCGTGTATATGCTGGAGGCTTTGAAGAAACTCGCGCAGGACTTCGGATCCACTGAGTCCCCTGAGTTGCACGATGCTCGGGAACTGTCCCAGGAGTTCTTCTCCAAAATGGACTTCAATGTCGCGTAAGTGATGTCTCGACAAGATCCAGTCTTCCAACCCAGAGTTAACCCCGGAAATGTCCCCGAGAATCGAATCACGAAGCTAATCGTTTCCTTCATCAAAAGTTTCCTGAAGGAGTGCCGGCCTCTCAGCGTATCGATGACCAATGCTCTCCGACACATTAAGCTCTCGATGAGCGAGGACGAGTCGATGAAGAACGCAAGCCAACTTGCGAGCACCATTATCGACAACATCGATGGCTTTCTTCAGAACGAGATCACATTAGCGAGGCGTGCCATTGTCGAGATAGCCAAATCAAAAATCCATGATGGTGATGTCGTTCTCACCTATGCCAGGTGAGCTAACAGAAATGAAATTATCTCTTCAATGAAATTATTCTCTGCTGCGATGGCGATTGATTCATGATTTCAAGAGCTTCCCTCCTCTTCTATAGATCGTCGGTGGTCCTGGATATTTTGACTACTTGTCATGACGAAGGCAAACGATTCTCGGTCGTGGTGGTGGACTCGAGGCCTGCTCTGAAAGGTCGAGAAACGCTGAAAACTCTGTGCCAGAAAGGGATCCATTGCAAATATGTCTTCATCCATTCGGTGTCCTACATCATGAAGGAAGTAAGTGTACCGCCTCCCGATCCTGGATTCTCTATGGAAGTCTGCTGTAGTGCACGGTTCTCTTCTCAATTTTTTTTCTCGGCGAATCTAAATATTCATGCCTCTTCTTTCTCCTCCATTCAGGTAACCAAAGTTCTCCTGAGCGCTGACACCCTTTTGGCTAACGGTTACGTGGCTTCGCGCGTAGGCAGCTCGCAGATTTCCATGATCGCCCACAAGATGAACGTACCTGTCCTGGTCTGCTGTGAAACGTACAAGTTTTCTGATAAAGTACTTGCGGACTGTTTCGCCGGCAACGAGTTGGGTTCTCAGAGGGAATTCCTACAGAATCTCAGCGAAAAGCGGAAACAGCTCTTGTGCACAACTCTGTCGTCGACTGTGAGCCTTGTCGATTTGACGTATGACATCACGCCACCAGATTTCGTCACGATGGTCGTTACGGAACGTGGAACTCTACCTTGCACATCGGTTCCGGTAGTCCTTCGAGTGAGACAGAATATAATCTAGGCAGAGAGAATAATGAGTTAACGGACGGCAGAGGCATCAGCGTCAATTAGGTATATTTGTTCGGTTGCGAAAAAATTTAGCGAAAATATATTTTCGAGAACATTGTGTTGATAACGCGGAGAGCGGCTGTACAGAAAGGTTGAGAGCGCGGGGAAGCGCTCGGGGACCTCCGTTTCACGGAGAACGAGTTGTTCTCTGAAGCTATCCGGGAGATCAGCACGCGGGAATAAAACACTCATACCCACGAAACCTCTGATTGATTCTTCAAGTCGCGCAAAATCGGCTCAACGATTTTATAGGTATGAGCTCGAATTGATCTATTCCGGCGGATTATCACGCTCCTTGTAGGAGCTACGTGCGTCGCCCTCTACATTCGGAGGACCGCTCCCTCCAAAGGATCACCCGAGCAGGTGGGCAAGGCGCATGGGGGTCTCTCTCTCCTCCGCTGTTTCGATATTGCAACACTTGTCACACCAGGAAAGTACTTCCAAGAGCTGAGGGTCGAATCTTTTTTTAGGGATTCTCTTCAACGATTAATTATTGAAGGAGAGCGAACTCTCACGGGGCTCGACCCGTGAATCCGTCGGCTCCGGATCATGCGAAACTCTTATTGACGGATCCCCTAACAGCACACGCAGAGAAGCCCCTCCCCCGTTTCCCATTCCAGCTCTCCGTTCAACTTGAGCCGAGCTGAATTCCAACCGGAGAAAAGGCGGTTGAAGCCTTCCCTGGGGGTTCGAGCTCGCTCTCTCGCTCCGATCCCCTCTCCCACTTTATGAACCCTGAAGTATCCTAAGTGAAGGTTCTGGCCTGTCGTGTTTCGATCAGATTCGATTCCGATCCGAAATTGATTCTCTGTGAGGAGCAATCACCTCGCTCTCAATACCGACATCATTTGTGAGTTTTTGAATAATTTCAATGATTCGTGATTGTTGAACGCCCTGATCGCTCGGTCTCACGTCGGGAATTGATTCGTTCCGAAGCGAGATGAGTGGGAACCGTGTTTTCATCGGGCGCCTTCCTCGTGGGAGTCGCGAACAAGATATCGAGAAGTTCTTCAGCCGTTGCGGTCGTATACGGGGTATAATGCTCAAACGAGGATACGCCTTCGTGGATTTCCGCACCGACCGGGACGCATCAGACGCGGTCCACGACATGAACGGTGAGCCTCCAAAGAGAAACCCAGGGCCCTGGCGGGATCCCATCTCCGACCACCTAATCATAAGAGACGCCTCTCATGACGAATTTCGCAGGGAGGTCTATGAGAGGTGAGCGCATGACTGTGGAAATCGCTTCCGGTCGCCAACGCAAGGGGAGTCGTGACCAGAAACACAGGAGCTCAAGTGCGAGGTGAGCATCTGACGGTGGCAGCTCGAGTATTCGCTGTCGGGGTTCACGAGGCTCGGCCGCATCCTCCTTGGGACAGTCGACCAATTGGTCCGAAATTCCCGGTTCGTTCATTTGTTTCAGAAACGATGCTTCTTCCAACGGAGAGTACCAAATAGTTGTCGAAAATCTGAGCTCCCGAATCAGCTGGAAGGTGAGGAATCGATTCTGAGAGGGTCTCCATAGATCGTTGCAACGGGAAGCGACGTCATACCGTAAAACTAATGATTTGCTTTCTGCCGTATAAGTGCGTTTGCGGTGGTAGCTGAATGTTCCTCCAATGCTTGATCCTTGTGGGAAGCAAATCAGAGCAAGCAGACTCCGTCGCGTCTTGAGGGTGGCTGATCTCCACTCGTTGACGTTTAGCTCGGGGCGACTCCTCGTCAACGTCTGAACAGAGCTCAATACTCAAGAGCGGTGTTCCGTGGATGTCTAGTTCCTCATCGAGATGAGTCACGGTGCTCGATCACTGTCACCGAAACGAAAACATCTCATTCGTTCAATTGATGCTCCCAGTCAATGCATTTTCGGGAGTCGAGTGTCTTATAGACAATCAAATCATTTCGATCATTCGATCAATCAAGTCGAATGTCTTCATCAGGACAGTCTCTGACTGACTCCCAGGTCTGTGGTGGTGAGCTACTGAAATAAGAAGCGACAACAACCTTAGAGCTTCGAAAACATTGTATTTCGAATAAAATGATGAAAGCGAATCGCCTTAATCTTTCCTGGAGAAGTCATTCATTTTATCGTAGTTTTAATCCGAAGACCGGAATGTTCTTAAGGGTTCACTGACGTTCACCCTAAAACCACATCTGTCCTCGCAGGACTTCAAGGATATGATACGCCGTGAAGATATCGAAGTCGTTCACGTAGACGCTCACAAACTCCACAAACATCAGGGGTGAGTGCCCCGGATCTCATTCCGCACATTTCCTCATTTCTGGGTCCCCCACCGATGCTGCTGCCTGGGGAGCCTTGAGCTCCTCAAGGAACGAGCCTTTAATTCATCTTGAGATTAAGGTTCGATATATGGATCTTGCAGGATCGTCAAGTTCAGAACCCACAGCGATCTGAAGCGAGCCATAAAGAAGTTCCAAAACCGAGAGATTGAGGGTCGTCGACTCGAAATCACGGTAAACAACTAATATTGATTCACGAGTTTTATTTTGTCGCTAAGAGTTGGATGGAACCGGAATGACGCTCAATCGAAGCGAGGATTCTCATGTTCACAGGAAACGCGTTCAGGCAGTCGCGAGCGATCCGGAAGTCGCGATAGTCTTGACCGGAACCCTCCGAGCAAGAAGAGGTATCGCTCTCGAAGCGCATCATCGGTGTCTCTTTCGCCTCGACCGAAAAGAAAAGCCGGAACGCCGACCTCTGATTCCGGCTCCGCAGAAAAGGAAGCGCTGAATCCGAAGGACAATCCCCCCTATCGCCGTGAGGGCGTTGTCAGTCAAGCATCGAGATCCAACAGTCGCAGAATCTCGACTCCCGATGGGAAAAGTAGTCCAGGGACGTCCAGTTCCCGCTCGAGCACCCCTGCGCGATCCAAAAACGCATCTTCGAGCTCATCCGGCTCAGAATCACCGCCAAAAACACCGGACAGCCCTTGAGATCGGGGTCCGCCGCCTGCAGTAAGCAAGGGAGACCCAATGTGCGGAGGCGATTCGATGTGGCGAATGCCCCCACCACATGATAGAAACACCGATCACGATAGTCGGTAGCAAGATTATGTATTCAGATCATAATAATCGATCGTAGAACAATATTGTGGCAGTCCATGAATGAACGAATAGCTGACTCATTGAATAAAATCATGAAATATGTTCGCTATCATCATCAAGGAGACTTATTCGTCTCTTGCTCATCTGTCCTCTTCTTCCCACTTCGCGGGAGATCCTCGAAATAGATAACGAAGATAGCAGAGCACAGAATGTGTCAGAAGGTGAGTTCTGATCAAGTCCCGCTCAGTAGGACAACCATCGTAGTGACTTCGCAGACCTCCCTGTTACCCATCCCATAATCCCCTAGTTCGCTTTCTTTCCACTCAGACCTACCTGATGCAGTGAGAAGTACCGAAGTCCAGATTCTTAGCTACGCCTGGCACGAGCAGATGCAGTCAGGACCCTCGTTGAATTCCCCGCAGAATTTGCGAGAGCTTACCATATATGACTTGACGTACCCACGGATTCTGACGGCGCCAGACGGAGGAAGCGCGGGGGGCGTTCCTAAATCAGAGCTCAGACACGAACGATGTACTGCTCTCGCTCGGGTATCCCGTGTGTGTCAGGTACCCTTACGCTGAAAGCTTTCCGATTCTCCCTCAAACAGCTCGGACGTTATCAGTCTACGGTCCATACGAACAATTATTCGGACAACCATCAGCAGCGTTTCCGATGCTCCACTACCAGGAATTTCCCATGGGGACCGCCGTGCACCAGCAGGAGCAGCAGGCATCCGACCCGATAGCTGACCAGGAGCTCACAGTGGAAACCTCACCACTCGACGTCCCAGAAGACGGTCAAGAACAACTGATATCCGCTGAGGAACCACCGTTCACGATCATCCAAACTTCGTGGCCGGGTGTGAGTTACGGTCCTTGGCAAGGCTTCGATCCATCTACAGCTTGGCAGGTCCCCCAGGACACGCCCGAATCTTCTCCCGAAGGTCCGCAAACAGCAGACCCAGCTGGTGGCACTCGGGAGGCCTCAGGGCCTGAGGAGTTCCCCAAGAGTTCTACGGGGGTCACCCAAGGGGCTTTCGAACCTATCCCGGACTGGGAATGCGCTCCCAATCAGCAAGGTACTCCTGCATTAGGACAGCAAGAAAATCTTCATCCTAAATACGAGTATGAGCACGCTGTGAGCCCAACGGAATCAAACGATGTCGCTCCGGAACTAAATCATATACCGGGTCAGACGGTAACGTCGTCTCTTGCCGACATGATCCGGACTCAAACGACCGACCCTGAGCCTACGCATTTGGCTGACAAACTAGAGGCTGGTGCGAGCGAGATTGGGGACCCCGGCCCGATGCTCCCAGCCCCAAATCCCCAGGAGATAATAAGCTCGGCACGGCCACGACCAGTCAATGACTTTTTCCGCGCGCATCGAGAAACGCCTCTTGAGAACGACTCCCCTTTCCCCTTGTTCCCCGACGAGATCTCGAAGGAAAAGAAGCCTGCAGCAAGATTGTTCCCAGAGTTTCTGCTTTCTACGGTCGCTAAGGGGAACCCGCCGTCTCTTCCAGCTCCCCGAGAATCTGTTTCCCCGGAACTTGGCGGGCCTACACCCTTGCGCGGCGTGAATCCGAACAACATCAATCGCCGTGAACTGAAACGCTTGATGCCAGACATGGTGAAGAAAAGCGTCAGAGGACGGGTCGCATCGGCGTCTCTTCTGCAGAGGAAAGAGGATAAGAGTCTTCCGAAGCGCCGGAAAGCCTGGAGACCCCCCGAGGAAAGGACCGCTTCGATGTCTCAGGCGAGCGTCGACTCGGAGTCGAGGGCACCCCTCTCCCCGCCTTCGGCAACTACTGTTGCCGAATTAAGTGCTCTTGAAATAGTGGTGAAACGCGACCAGCCGATACCCGAACTGAATCCGAAGGATCATCGGGTAATCGAGATGTGGAATTCCGGTGATTCCCTCGAAAAAGGAATCAACCCCAGGAGGGTGGCACCAAGAGCCGCTATCGAAAGCGTGACTCCATCGAAAAAGGAAGCATTCACGGTGGCGAAGGATAAGACTGTCGTGCCTGGTCGAACTTCAAAATACGCAGATGTGGGCCCCACGAAAGAGAGCGGTGCTATGCCGCAGGCTAAGGGATTCGGGGTTCTGCCTCGTTCGAATACGATAGTCTCAGCGAAATCTTGCGGGGAAAAGACTCCGATGGCGAAGACTGGGATCATCTCTTCAGCGAAGAGAAGCGGGGTGATCCCCCTATCAAAAAAAGGCGGTTTCATTTCGAGCAACAAGGGAACTTCTCCCGACGCGAAGAGAGTGAACCTTATTCACCCGGCGAAGAGAGGTGGGATTCTCCCTCCTGCGAAGAAGGGCAGGGCTCTACCTCCCACGGAGAAAGGCGAATCTCTCCTTTCTGCGAAGAAAGGCGGGGTTCTCCCTGTCTTGAAGAAGGACGGGTCTCACCCTCTGGCAAAGGGAAACGAGGTTTTCCCCCCCGCGAAGTTTGGCGAATTCCTCCCTTCCGCGAAGAAAGGCGGGGTTCTTCCTGTCTTGAAGAAAGACGGGTCTCGCCATCTGGCGAAGGGGAGCGGGGCTCTTCCTCCCGCGATGAAAGGCGAATTCCTCCCTCCCGCGAAAAGTGGCGGGGTCCTTCCTCCCTCGAAGAAAGGCGGTTTCCCTCCTGCCTCGAAGAAAGGTGGGCTTCTTCCTGTCTCGAAGAAAGACGGGTCTCACCCTCTGGCAAAGAACAGCGAGTTCCTTCCTCCCAAGAAGGAGGGCAGGGTTCTTCCTCCCAGGGAGAACGACCGGTTGCTCTTTCTGGCAAAGGAAAGCGGATTCCTTCCCCCCGCGAAGAAAGGCGGGGTCCTCCGTCCCGTGCAGATAGGCGGGAATCTTCCTCCCATGGAGGAGGGCGGGGTTTTCTCCCCGGCGGAGGATGGCGGGGTTCTCTCTCTCGCGAAGAAACGCGAGGTTGTGTCTTCTGCGGAGACAGGCGAGGTTATTCCTTGCGCGAAGGAAGGCGGGGTCCTCCCTCCCAAGGAGGATATCGGGATCCTCCCTCCCAAGGAGGAGATCGGGATCCTCCCCCTCGCGAAGAAGGGCGGGGTTCTCCCCGTTGCGGAAGAAAGCGAGCCCATTCCTTCCGCGGAGTATCGTGAAGACGCTGCGTCTGCTAAGGTAGCGGTGGCTTTTTCTCCCGTGGGAGAATGTGGGGCGTCTTTTCCAGCGGAGGAAGTCAGAAAAAATGTCACTGCGAAGGCTGCGGGAGTCGAGGGAAGATGTTCTGGGCCACAGACGAACGGATTCGGGAACGAAAGTGAAGAAGATAGACTCGCGCCTCGAGTGAAGGGATGCACACCCATTCAAGAAACGGACACTAAAAACTCGGCGAGGGGCTCTGTGGGGCTCGGTAAGTTGAGGGCTCAGGAGAAGTCGGTGATTGAGGCACCGGAGCCTGTCCGCCGTACGATCGAAGCTACCCCACTTGGCAACCTCGGAGGTCAAGCCGAAGGCGCTCCCGGGGCGGCGAAGGGACTTTCCAACTGGGAGGACAGGGATAAGAGGGCGAAGCATGCAAAGAAGAAGAAGAGCCATATCACGAAAGACTCGAGGAAATTCAAGTCTTGTGGGGTCAACTGAGGAGGCGCCTGAAGGTCCTGCCTGAACCCAGGAGACTGTTTTTTTTGGTCGTGTTAAAGTATGCCACGAGAGTATCCATTTTATTTGCTCGGAAAATATCGTTATTTTCTTAATAAAATATATATCCATACGTTTGCGTGATCAACGTTACTGTACAGGACGAAAGGCGTGTTATTGCAGGGGGTGCCGAGAGTGTTGACGCCGAATCGCCAGTTCACAGAAAGCTTTCCTCGTCGTTTGCAGCTTTTCACTTGGAGTCAGGTTCATTCTTGACTCTCGCTATCGCCACGAATGCGGTATCGTTTGGAGAGTCGAAAATTCCCAGAGGACCCCGCTCACAGTCACAACACGTTAGGTAGCGAACGCCACTTGGTGAAGGCTTCGTCATCCCGATGTTTTCGAAAGTCATCAGTGATTCCACCTGGAAGAATGAAAAGATGGATGAATGTTCCTTCGATAGGACGTAGTTGATGGTCCCGAGAGACGTAAGCCCGGCTTTCCGGCTCTGCACGACTTATACCCAGCAAGAGATCCTGTAAAGCCGGAGATCAGTTCGAATGAGAAAGACACGGAAAAGGACACAGACCTTCCAGAACTCCTCTAATGTTTCGAATGTCTCCTCAACACAATCAGGTTTCGGGACTTGCATCTCCTGTTTGAGATAAGCTCCGGTTTGCTCACAGAGTATCCGCGAGCTGCAGTGAGGACACTGGATTTGGAACCTGCTCGAGAAAAGAAAAGTTATCGGAACAGTGCTGGAATAGATCTGGATCTCGACCCCCAGCTTCGCTCGAAGGGAACAGAATCGATTCGGATCGATGAGACTCAGGCGTTCCATTGGCTTTCGAACCGATGGCAGCGGGAGCGGGGGGCTCTGCCGTCTATTTCATCGCAACGAATTCGAGTGACACCTCGTGGCAAATAGGGAGACCGACTCCTCTGAAGTTCTCTCAGGAATATACGCCGGAACTCATCTGAGAATGGAAGGGTTTGACGCTTTCTCGATTCAGAACCTACTTGTTTTTCCCGTCTCTCACGATCTCCGTCGACATGTTCAAGGAAAAAGATCGACAACTAGGCTGACGAACTTCTGGTGATCGTATAAGAAACGCCGTCGAAGATCTCAGCTAGTCTGAAGATCTGCCCAAGGCTATTCTAAGTCTGGAGCCGACGCCGGTTGTTTTCGTTCGAGTTTCTGCCGTCAAATGATGTGTGCTTCCATTTTGAAAAATCGTCTGCTCCCACGGTCCTCGACAACCCTCGTTGGGCGTGAAATAGGCCGTTTGCCACCGAGAATAGGCATCGAGAAATATTCTGATCGTTACAGGGGTGTTCCGCCCGAGGTTGGGGAGCCAGGAGTAGAAATTCGATGGGGATTGCGAGATTTTTCACGCGAGGCTCATGACGTTACAGAGTGTTGGCTGAAGTCTCTCCCGAAGGAGCTGTCTGCACCGCGTTGGGTGTGGGTCGTGACATGGCCGATCGGCCCGTGTTTCAGCAGCCGCAAGACACACCACAAAGTGAGTATAAGTTACCTAATCATGGCTTTTTGCGCTCAACTCCAGCGAATTGACGCGATCTGCATAGTGACCGGAGCTACCCCCATGGATTATCAGCGGTTTCTGTGTCGACGCGAAGTGTAGAGGTGCGTTGTGATTCGGAGTTTCGTCTCTGTCATCTGTGGAGTTGGGAGTGGACAGCACGCACTCGTTCCGGAGGCTTATGGCTCTCGTGAGGATATCGCGCGCTCAGCAACATCTTCTCCGAGCGTGCCGCCTGGCGTCACGACTCAAGCAACGCCAGCCTTCGTTGCCCGAGGTCATGTGTGCAGGAAAACCGTTTCGAATACGAACGCTCGATTGCTGGAGAGGAAAAAAAACGTTCATGATACCGTCGAACCGTTTGGAATATTTCCAAAGGAGCATCGCGTGACATCCTCGACACCATTGAGTTTCGCTCGTCTTGTGCGGCAAACAGTTGTGTTGAGGGCGGAGGATTTTTCTATGAGGCTCGTTCGGCAGCCGTGTGAGGAGCTGATTGAAAAGGATAGTGTTTCTATGCCGAGGCCGGATTCTGACATCTTGTTTCTCGGAAGAAGTGCTCCAGTATCGTCACGGGATCGGCGATGCTCGATCTTGGAGTCTGGGAGTGTCATCTACATATTCGCTGCACGCTTTCGAACAGAGAATCTGGATCACTTCTGGCTGTGCTCTAGACGGCAGTAATGCCGTCCGTCTGTTTCCGTGTGGCTGACCCTTGTACGGCGCGTACGGTACTTCGAAGTGGGATTGAACTTCGGCTTCGTCTTCCACCCGCGCTTCCACCGCGAAGTCGGTCAATTTGATTTCAACCATACATCTGAGTCGGGACGGGACGCGGATTTCGCAGCGCCGATGTTCCGTCCCATTCGAGCTCGGGCCCGACGACTCCCGGCTAGACATTGGAAGGGCTTTGACTCAGCAGACAGTGATCCGGAAGAGTCTGATGCTTGCTTGGATTTTGACTCATCAGTCTTCAAACAACAGCAGGGCCTCGCCATCGAAAGGGATAGAAACGGAAAATCTCGGACCGCGCCTGTTTTTGAGGACAACCCGATTTCTCGCGTGGCCGGAGAAACCTTCTTTCCGCCCGAAGAGCATTCGGCGGTATTATTCCGAAACGATCCGTGCCGAACTTTCTGACGTGTTCCCCGTGACCTAAGAGCCTACGACGTGACAGCAATGCTCCTACCGCTGAACCTCTACCGAATCCTGGAAACAGCGCCGGCGCGGCCAGCGACTGCGAGGCCCCTCCCTTGGTGTCGATCGTTTTGGGATTCGGGACCGAATTCAGACGATCGTATGTGACGGGGAATTATCAGAAGCCCACACCTGTCGTATTGCGTCAGCTCAATCAGTACTCTTCATTGAGATAGCGTGAGCTTCAGAATGCGCGAAACGAAACAAGATCTCGATAGAGCCGCGAGGGTCGGAGCCCCTAATAGTGTTGTCGGCCCGTAGAATGATCGAGAGAGACGAATTCAGGGTGAAGGTCGACCGTTTGTAATTCAATGTCGGCGAGTAACCTGGAGCCACACATAGCGGAGTCGAGGCGAGACAGCTTTTCCCGTCGAATCATGGCACCGCTAGAACCTGGAGGGCCCACGTCAGATGCGCCGGATATTTAATGGATGGCGAAATTCGCCGACAACGGTATTCGGTGCGCTAGGACGCTAGATTTGAAGTCGAATCGTTCCGCAGAGGCGGCGGATTCAGAGCTGCCGAACAAAAGGAATCCATTTGTTTTGTTCATGACGACTGAAATGAATGCCCGCTAATCTGCTCCCACTGATGAACTCGCGCGGAAAAAAATGAAGGAACCGTCCCGCCCGCGGTTGTAATACCACAATGCGAGAAACAACACGAGAGACCCCTACGAGACATGTGAATCCCGATATCTCGCCTAAATGCGTGACAAGATCCCCGCTTGCCAAATCGATCTCACGGCTCCGACTCCTGACGGCTCCCAGGCAACGACCAACTTCCTGCTGCGATTGATCGCTGGGCATGTGCTCTACAGGATCTCAGTCAGTGTAGAGTTCTGACCCTTGGAAAAAGTGTGATCCCTGCAGGCGAGAAACTCCCGGTCACGACGCGACGCGCTACCAGGAAATTCCAATTGGGAAGCGATAGTAAAGTCATACGTAATAATTCGACATTTGTTCCGCTGGACGCTTTATTATGCTCGCCCGCTCACTCTGCCTGTGGGAAGTGTGAAGTGTAGTGCGCCCTCCTGCTCGGCGATCACGAGTTTTTGTTGACCAGCAGGGTGTGGTTTCGAGTCTCTCCCCATTTTGTTTTTCCTCGACATCTGTCGATCCATCCATTCATTCATCCGATTCCTTCTTCTGGGATATCTCTGTCGTTCAGTCAGAGCAGCGGCGACGACTGTTCCGATGTTCTTGCAGGCCGTTTCGTCGGCTGAAGCTAACGTGCGTGATAGTTCATGAGTCGCTGGACTTCGAAGAGCTTTCTAGAATTGACGGCGGCGGCGGCGACGGCGACGACTGATGCGGGAGCAGACAATGCTCACGTAAACCGCAAGTGTTCAAACATCCGTCGGTCTAGCCGTAGTCTGTTGCCTATATGGCGACCACAAAAAAAACGTCATCGAAACTGGCGACCCACCATCGCTCGGGCTATCGACTGATTCCGGAGAAATTCCCGGTTTCGGTATTTACATCGGAATTGTTCGATGTGCTATTTCGATCTCGCGCAATAACGCATCGAAACGGTGCTCAGGAAGGAATCATTCTGACACAATTTGCAATGTAGTCAGAGAGGTGGTTGGTGAAGTCAGACGCTGGGACTCTTTGAATTATAATTTTGTCCGCCGAGGTGTTTCTCATTCCGAAGCTTGCACAGGACAAATCGAAATCGGAGAGCTCCCCCCGTCCCGAGAGCACCAGGGTCTCATGTCGTTCTCTCATTTTCGATTAATTTTAATCATCCTGCATAGCGGAAGATCCCCCGATGTCCCGTGGAAAATTGATGGGGAGAACACGGGAGAGCTCGTGTTTTGTTTCGGCGAAGCCTCTCTTCCATTCATGTCTCGTTCAGAAATCCATCAGATGTCGGACCGGCCTTGGGAGCTAGCAGACAGCGTGACGCCGAAATCATTCACATCGGTAGGTAGCTTCCCGGACAGTCGGAAAACTGCGGAAGCATTCCGGCCCGCAAAATACCTCACCCAAAATCAAGAAGTAGTCTCCCGTCGGCTCCCCATCTTTTGCCTCGCGAGGATTCCTAATTTTCTACGATCTGGCTTTGCCGCGATGGAATCACTCGACTGATTTCGCCGCCGGCCGAGCCAGGGAGCCAGAGACGAGGCGAGGAGTGCGAACGTTTACTTGAAGTAAATGTCTTCACAGAAAAAATGGAATGTTTTCCAACGCCGAATAATGATCATGATAAACTGGTGTAGCTGTCCCGCGGAACGGCCGAGAACACCAGGTGTAGTGCATATGGCTCCGCTCAGGGGGCTTCACGAGAGCTCGCCGCTCTCATGGCGGCAGCAGCTCCGCCCTCATGCATTTATTCGATTGTGTATTCATCATTCACAAGCCGGACTTTGAATGCCGTCTCTGACGGCTCCTCTCGTGATCCTTGATCACCTTGACCTTGTTCCGTTTTCCGTCAACTAGATTATGAATCGTGAGGCTTCCGATCCCGGGAATGCTTGTTGTTCGACCTGAGAATCACAGAAATTCGGCATTGCTCCGACAACGGGCATGACGGATAGGAGTTCTCTAATGAAAGCTTCAAAATAATCGTCTTTCCCAAACAATGGTTCGGTGTCTTCTCTCGTTAAGTGTATCGTCCGCCGGACAGCCGATTCGCAGCCGTCTGACAAAGCATTAGTCACAAACTTGCTCGACAGCCGGGGCCAAGCGGGCTGAAACACATATCCACCCGAGATCCGGCTCACGCATTTTCTATGATGGCTGCCTCTCGTGAAGGTGGCGCTTGAAGCATGGCGTGGTCTTCCACGACGGAAGGATTCCGGATAAGGCTTTACGAGCTAGGTACGAACTCGTGGGCTGGCTGGTCAATCGTCTGGTCGGGTTGTCGGTCAGCTCACAGACTGAGTCATGGGCCACCAGGTAAACCTCTCAGCCCGAGCATTGCCCCGCTGTTAAGCTATTTGACAAGAGTGGTAAAGGCCGCCGATGTGTAGGGACTGACTCCGCTGTTTGACGGTCGCGACAAGGACACCCTTTCCCGAACCATTACCGAGACGAGTCTGATTATTCCTCGAACGCTCATGTAGTCATACATTCGGTCGCTGAGGAATACGATAATGAGGCCCACCGTTTATCGGTCGGGGGGCTCGACAGATCGACGCCCCCCCTCTCGATTCAGGCCCCATATCTTGCCTTGAATCTGACTCCTGCCGTGGGATGTTGCTCTGCCAGTCTGGGAATATTCACTTTCAAGCTGTTCGTTCATTCAAGCGAATCAGCTGCAAGTTTAAAGGCCGATGGAGCGAGAAGGCTTGGAACAAAAGTTTTTTGGGACGCCGGGCAAAAGACGATCATTCTCAACGCCAACAACTCGAGCATCCATGGATTGTTCCGGGTGATTCCCACGCGGACCCTACGGACGTTTCTCGAGACGGAAAATGGGTTCCGTGAAGACGATGATGTTGTATGGCTTTTCCCTTCGACGAGCATCACCTTCACCAGTACGAACGACCGTTTTCCCTTTATTTTTTCCCTCTTCCGGAAACTCGGACGCGTCGGTGCTTGTAATGATCCATCCTTCGGCCATGAAGTCTACTTTCGCTCAATTCTCCGGCGTACGCTGCACGACTCAATAGGAGGGAACACCGCTCCCTACCCCGCCCGTGCAGCAGGTACTGATCACCTTTTATCGGATCAGTCGGACCATCTCGACTGCAAAGATGCTTGAGAGGAGTCCCGAGGGGGAATTCATCCAGAGCAACGGATAGAGTCGAATGAATAATTGCGAGCCTACACATACGAATATCGATCATTCCTGGACACACTCAAGAACTCCCAGATTCTCACTCCACTCTCATTCCGATGATTTTTATGATTTGTCTGCTGTATCGACCCCGCAAAGTTTCCGTTCGGCTCTTCGAGTCCGAATCAAGGTCCGGATCACGGCTTGGTTCGATTGAAAACGACTGTCGTAATTCAGCCGAATGAAGAGTCTGCGGAAGGGGCGGAGCCGTTCCGAATGTGATTGATAAGCTACCAATGATGGACAGCTCACAGCCCAAGCGGGAGCCTCCGTGAGAGAACAGAGAATTCCCAATGAGGGAGAATAGTACGCTCTGTGTACCATTGCGCGATAATCGGTCGCGTTGGCAGAAGCGCTCCAGATGTTTTTTGACACATTAGCTGCAAATTCTGTACGACTGCCCCTTGCTTGCAGAAGCGTGTGCCAAATCGTTGGAATGGTTCATTTTCGTTCAAACCCGCCCAGAAATTTCATCACCCTGGGTCGCTTATTCGAAATGAACTTTGCTTCGTGTATTTTCACCGCCGTTCAAGCGCCCGCGACGGTGGCAGTACAGAGCGAATCGAGTTCGAACCCGAAGGGTTTTCCTTCACTGCGGCCTGCTCCCAATTCTTATTTGCGAGATCCTCATCTTCCAATAAAGAATTACTTTCCGAATGAGGCTGGGCTGCGGCCGACGGAGTAAACCTTCTCCTCGTGAGCCGCAGAAAGGATGGCGATTCTAGCTCACAGGCAGTTATTCAGCCAGCAGCCGCCCGAGTAGACTTGTAGCAGAAGACGTGCTATTTCTGTTGCAGATTTCTTTGCGGGCGTGTAAGAAAGACGTTTTTCCGTTGTTGTCCGTTCCGTCTGATACGCTTCAGAAACATTTTTTGTGAGGCTCACATCCCGGGTGTACCGGCTGCAGCTCTAGAGGGTCGAAGCATTCCTTCATTGCTAAATGACGGACTGGCGGACAGAGTCGAGCTCCCAAGGAACCTCCCGTTGTCTGAATAAACACCAAAAAAAGCATTTGCACCGCAGTTCATCCCATGCAAGCATACTGGTCATCGACGAGACACCCGGAGCAATACTGAAAAATTCGGTGAAGGTTAATCAGAACGCAATTTCAAACAATCAGTTCCCAAAAAGAGTCGGGGAAGCTCATCCGAATCTGTGTATTCTGACTGGCTCAACGGCCGCAGCTGAGCAAACATGAGCTGTCTGCCGCGACGCTGCTTTGAATGACGGAACAGCTGTCGGAAGTTTGACGTTGTTTCAGAGTTCGATGGCCTGCCGTCAGTCCCCGCATACGGGGAAGGGGTTAGAGGAGCGTCGGGGGATGCTTTGTCGTGTTGCCTCGGAATTCGGGCGCAGCAATTTCAATTTTCTCAAGTATGGATTATTACGTAGCATGGCAGCTGCCCCCTGCTGAGCGTGGTAGTTGAGCTTCTTACTACGGTGAGACTGATAGGAATTCTACACGATTGCCCTGGATCTCGATCGCCTTCTATTTTGACGGATTCAATGAGCAGAATCCGTCAGCGCCCGCCAGACAATTGTTCCGACATTTGACCGACCTGCATGCTTCTGGTAACGCCAACACCATCAGCGCCATGTCGTAGGGGGAAGCCGGGAAGATAAATTTAGAAATATTGTCGTCTCGCTACAGAGGAGGTCGTTGTTGTGTTTCTCTGGCTCGGAGAGAATCTGAGAAGAAAAAGACCTTTTTCGGAAGTCACTACCGGCATCGCATCGCCGGCGGATCTGAACGAGCGAGGCGCAACTGGTGATCTCGACGCTCGCGAGTGACAGTCTTACCCACTCCGTGTGCCCGTGCCGTGATCAGACATGTTGTGACCATTGTTCGTCCTTCGGGTCCGACGCAGAGCCCTTCGGAGGCACGGTCGATCTCCTTGGATCAGGATGAGTTCTTCAATTGAAATCCAAACATCATCATTTGCAGGTTTCGATGGAAATTTAAATCGGTCGTGTGTAAATGTAGTCTCGAGTATGGCCTTTAACAGGAGGCGCCAGCCACAACAACGAGGTAAGTCCCATCTCAAGATTATCATGGAGCTCGAGGGTCTTCGAACTTCTGTTCGGAATCGGCGAAATATATGCCCTGCTCCGAGACTCAATGTTAAGGTAATTCGGAATCGAGGATCCTCCGATTTTCGGAAGCCTAGATTTCAGCTCTGAATCGGTTTCTGATCGAGCCGCAGTTCTCCTTGTACATTTGCCTAATCCCGAGCTTGAGTACACATATTCGTATCACCTTAGCTATGGCGAGGGTCGAACGAACTCCTCACGCCCACAGCTTCGTCTCTCCATCACCGCCTTCTGCGGGAACACCAGATTATATTTTGCATCGCACCGCACTGCCTTTCGGACACTCGGTCAGCTGATTCCGTTCGAGACTCCGGATCAGAAAATACCTCATTATCGGCAATATGCGGTCACTCGCTCCGTCGCGCTCTCTCGACCCGCTCCCATGGTGTCGATCGTTTCCATATCGCTAGCTTCGATTCTGAGCCGAGGTCGGGTCTATCGGGACTGAACCCCGCAATCGGGCGGCATGTAACGCAGCCATTGATCGGGACCGAGGAACAGGAGAAATGTTCCTCGGTCGAGCCGTTTTCCCGATTTTGAGCGGATCACTCGTTCCTTCTCGCTTTGAGCCGGTTCCGGTGTCTCGATTAGATTTCGATTGGGAGATGAATCGTCTCTTTAATGGAATTTTGTGGCGAATCCAGATCCCTACTGGTTTGCTGGCGCCGAATCTCAATCAGTCTACGAGGGCTTATGGACGCATCAGCTGCCGTCAACGACAGGAAGCCTGTCCCCAAGAGCTCCTCTAAGCCTTCCGAGAGCGGTTTCCGTTTGCTCTGATCTCTCGGAATCGGTGGACACCTCTTTTTGCGCTTCGTCCAATGCTTCTTCGACAAAATCATCGAAAAGTACGGGTCCCTTTGAAGGAGGATGACAACTTTTTCCTTTAGTTGGTTGATGCAGTATGAACTCTTCCTCGTAGATTACGTCGCTGATTCCGTGCTTTCTTCTGTTTAGCTAAATTAAATTCTGTTGAGGACTTCCTTTTGTTCAATCATGAGTCTCAGAGACTTTGTCTTGGCGTCTCATCCTGGTGCAGCCATCACAGCTGTGGAATGTTTCCCGGAATAACCCATTGATTGATTCATCGTGCGGAATCGGAGACTTGAAGAGGAGTGTACCAATTCGAAGAGAAAGTGCCAGGTTGCATTGAGCGTGGTCGCCGACTGACTTCGAACCCTTATCCGAATATTTATTTCCGGACGGGTCCGCTACTAAAGTCTTCTGCAGTTCTCACTTTCTCAATTACTACACCGAAACTATTCTTGTTCCCCTAATTATCCAAACAGCGATGGAGCAAGCTGAACCATCGGACCGTGAAAATTGAAGTGGGTCACAAAGAATAATACGAGTCGACAACGAACAGAAAGAGAATTCTCTCGTGAGCACTCCGATTGTCGCTGTTCGAATTGATTATTCCCGGTGATCGCTGCTGCATGCAAAACCGCTTCTGAACGTTATATGCCAGTATCGGGCAAGAATATCACCATCACCTGCAGTGCCGTATTGCTCGAATATTGTGTCTTGTGAAAACATCCTTGCCGTCGCGAACCACAATTTTAGTTGTTATTCACACGATTGAGTTGGCTTTAAATTTTGATTGTTATTCACACTGTCGAGTAAGCTTTGGATTTTGATATTTTTTTCCAATCAGTTTGCTAGATAAACGAGATAGTAAGCATTATTTAGAGTTATTTACATTCTGCTTATATTTTCTTATGGCGTCTCGTCTCGCACTTTAGGATCTTACTGGTTCGCGCAATCGGGTTCGGATGTAGCGGACTGTTTGCGACACCAGGACTCGCCCGTCGGCTACACGGCGAGCCAGAACTCAAACCAGATCCAAGCAGCACAGACTCCGGTTGGCTTCAGCCAGCCTTCCGGACAACAGGCTACGTTGAGCGACTGGGGCAGCTCGCATTCTCAAGGTTCGAGGAAAAATCTGCATTACAAAGTGCTTGGGTAGCTTTTAGCTCGCATTCCGCTCCTTGAAGCAACTCTTAACCCCGCACCCACCCGTTTCCCTGCCCCTAGAGCATCGTCATTCCAAATCCTTCCGTGAATTTCTTCTCTCTTCTCTCCTGCGGCATCTCGCGATCCTGAGGGGGATATTTGACAGAAACAATTTCCATGTGCATGACGATCCGATAATTCCGAAGAATTATTTTGAAATCCGATCATTAATGAAGCGTATCGGAATCCAGATCCTCACCATGCTGAACGGGTCCGACAAGAGGCTCGCGAGCGGCAAGAAGAACTGCACAGGCGGCGAATGGAAGAATTAGCCCAACACAATGAGCACGCCCAACGAATACGCGAGGACACCGAAACCGACAGACGGAAGCTCTACCAAGAGAAACAGGTGGTCCACGAATCGAATAAGCAACACGTGAGTAGAAAAAACTCCGTTCACACCTCTGTCATCTATTTCGAGCAGTACATAGGCGATCTCGACCGATTTTATGCGCCAAGGCAAACCGAGACGAACTCCGAGGCGGGGGCAGCCTGTTCGGGATACTGACGCATTTTCACATCCAGGTGGACGACCGACGACGTGCCCTGCACGAAGCTGATCAGGAATGGCGTGAGGCCGTCCTGCGGAGGAGCCAGGAGCGGAATTTGCGGGCAGAGCAGTACCGAAAGAATCGATTGAGCGCGTCCATACTCGTAGAGGGAAATCAACCGGTATCGGTCATGTCCAGTCCTGCGCGGGGTGCTTCGGGTGAGTTGGTATTTCCGTTTTTGTTTCACTTTCCGCCGGCCGAGCGGAGGCCGACATCCACCTCCGGGGCACAGCTGGCAACCCTCACCTATCACCTCCCACTACGAGACACCTGTCCAGCCCGGCGCGCACTCAGAAACGACTTTATGGACGGACACTGAAACCAGCTCGAATTTGATCTAGAGAATCTCTCGAACGCTCAGAGACACTTCGAGCCAAGAAAAGCACAAAGCACTCCGGTGGGCTCATGTCGGCTCGCGTTTCGAGCAATATTTTCCCGGCGCAAGATGTAGCTGCGAGATTTGTTTCCGGTTACAGTGGCAAATGCACGATCACTGCACAGAAAATTGCAAGCTTAGCGTCGAGTTTCGATGGGGGTTTTCAGATGAGTTGGCTGCGGATGGTCACGAAGATAAAGATGATAAGGTGCCTCCTTTGCCAAGCGAGAAGCAAACATTGATGACGGCGTCCTGCTTCGGCAGTCTATGGGGCTCGGGGGCTCTTGTTCAGGAGGATGGTAAGGAGCAGCGGAACGCGTGTGGGGAGAACGAACTAAGAGTGAGACGCTCACTAATACGGTCGAGAGCCATCTTTGTGGAAGAGAACAAAACGTTACTAAATTCGGCCGCATTGGAGGAAATGGCTTTTGCTTGGGTTGGTCGCTTTAATCGGCTTCGGAATGAATAATCGAATTCGAAGTTGATATGTAGATACCACCGCACAAAGGCATGCTCGATATCGATGAAATGTGAGCGGAGATGTAACGGAGATCGTCTGACCAAGATGAATCGATCGGCATTACAGGGGATCTCATGAGCAGAAGTATGATCGTGACCTCGAGCGCAGCCCGCCGCAAGACTGATCTGACGCCGGTGACGCCATCGCCATGGGCTCGCGGACTCGGTTCCAAAGCACTGCCGACGACGCCCACAAGACCGCAGACTGCAGCGGGCTCGGCGGGAACGCCCAAGCGAGCCGTGAGCATGTCTCGCCTGGACATCCTTGCGCAGCCTCGACGAAGATTCACCATGGAGGACCTCAAGAGTAGGTCTCATTCGGCATGGAAGCTGAACGATTCCCCGCAGGGCGCCGGCTTCAAAGGAATCCAGAGCGCCCGCAGCATGTCACACTTGAGTTCGACGCCATTGCAACCCCCTCGCATTACGCGCACCTCCCACCTAAGACAGAAAGGTTTGACTACGTTCGGTTGCGTTTTGATCAGTTTGACGGTGAAGCTTCTCGAATCGGATTTGGTTTTCGTTGTGTTGCTCCTTCCAAAGCATCGTTTTCATCCCTATGCCGAAATGAGGGAACTCCGAATTCCCGAGCGGCTTTCTCTTGCGAATCATTTTCCCCTGCTTCCAAATGCTCGCCCCGCTCATTGCATTCCTCTCGGCGATCCGGAATGCTCTCGAGTTCTTCGCATGAAAAATTACTAAGCTCTCAGAGCGCGTCTAACATGCCTCAATCTACGCTTTGCGATGTCAGGTCATCATTCAGCTTCGGCGACTCGCAGTGAGCAGGTCTCCCCGACCCACCATTTGCCCACCCCACATCATCTGCGCTCAAGAAGTCAAATGTCGTCAGACCTCTCGCAGAGTTCTGTGGCCTCTTCGGTGGGCAGTCCGCATGCAAACATGAGGCCTAAACCCCAAGGTACTTACCATCGAGGGAGGGCGAAAGACCCACTCGACCGCATCTCTTTGCCGTGGCGTAATAATGCTCCTGGTCAAGAGCGCGTGAGCTATCATCATAATCCCAGAAACCTCCGAGAGAATAGAATCTTCTCTCACGAGCAATCCCCTCACTGTTTCTTCTTCCTTATTGAAGGTTCCGCGAACCGGAAGACCCGACCTCTGAGCATTGCGGGTTCGATTCCTTCGAGCGAATTAGATAAGAAAGACAAGCCGATCGTTTTGAGGAAGCCCCAGAAGCCCGTGCCGCCCGCTTCGTCGCCGGAACCGCAGGCCGGCAGCAGAAGCCGCCGATCCGCGTCACCCAAGAAGAAGGAGGCGACCTCTCCCCAGAAGGAGATCAGTCGGGACGGGGCTCCGCAGAACGCGAACGTATCGAATGCGATGACGGAATCGACCAATACCCTCCCGGTCGATATCCCGCTGCTTATGACTCAGAGCTTTACAGAAGGCTGTATGCCGATCGAGAACCGTCCTGCGGAATCGCGCAAGACGAAAACTCGAGAGGAGGCCATGGCCGAAATCGCAGAAGCCAGGAAAAGGGCTCGCGAAGAAATCGAGAAGCAGGCTGAAGAGGAGCGTAAGAAAAAAGAAGAACAAGCCGCTGCTAGGAGAGCTATCCAAGAGAAACGTCGACAACTTGAAGAAGAAGCCCGACTCAAGCGAGAGAAGGAGGAAGAGGAGAAGCGGAGACTCGAGGAAGAGGCTCGGAAGGCCGAAGAAGAACGACTTCGTCTCGAGGAGGAGCAGAAGCGACTCGAGGAGGAGAAGGCCAAGCAGGAAGCAATCGAGCGTCAGAAGAAAGAAGAGCAGGAGAGACTCGAGCGGAAGAAACGAGTCGAAGAAATTATGGCGAGGACCAGGAAGGCTCGCGCTGCTGCTGCGGACCTCAAAGAATCGAATGGAACACAGGGTGGAGTCGAAAACAACACCAGCGCCGACGCGAGTCCCGTAAGGGATGTGTCGAGTGCGACCGTTATCCCACAGCAAAAACATCAGAATGGCTTGTCGAATGGGTGAGTCCCGTGGAGAGAGACTCAATTATTATTAGCGAATTGAAACTCGAATTATTGCGATTGGTCCCCCTCGCTCCTTCCGTCCCATTCAAGCGTCTTGCCCCCCCTTCTAACGAGTCTGTTTTGCTTACAGTCACAGCGCCAACAGTTTTGCAGCTCAGACAGTCAGTGTTGGGGGAGGAGGAGGCAACGTCAATGTGATAAGCGAGAAGAAAGCTGAGGCATCAGAGAAAAGAGTCGACGAATTGATTTCGATTGAAAACTCCAATAACGGACCCTCGTCCACTGATTCGGGCACGGGTTCCGCCGATTTCAACTCGAATAGTACCCAGCACAGTAATGCGGCCAACAACAATGTAACCACGACGACGACGACTACCACCACCACGAGCACCGGTCAGATGCAGGGAACTCCCAACGATGCGAGCCTCGTAACTCAAGAGGCTCCCCTCATCCAAGGTTAGCCGCTTAGTGTTCAGTTGTCTTGCACCAGCCTGCCTGACTTGCACCTTCGCACGAGTAGACATCGTTTCGGGAGATCAACCAACCAAATATAAATGAGCTTCGCACATCGCGCAATCTAACTCCACTTCTGGGTCAGTTTGTGTTCGTTTTTTCCCTCTCTCTATTCATATGATTTCCAATGGATCAGAAGCCACCGCTCAGAATCCGCGCGAGCGTATTCGCGGCGCTTGCATGACTTGGTGTGCTGAATGCTGAACCCGCTGACCGATGTTCTTCTTCATTTCAGATCTGTTATCATAGATGTTAACAGCTTCGGTAGGGACAACGAAGGATAAGGGAATCAGGTTGCTGACTCCGCTCTTAGGAGAGTAGTTCCGTTCCGTAAATGATTCCAGAAGTCGCTGATACTAGCTGACTCGCATCCGTATCCGGATGTCGTGGCTGTCATTCCACCGCTCTCTGCAGAGGAAAAGGATTTGCAATAGACGGAAACTACATCCCCACGACTCGCCTCCGAATCTGGCATCATCGGCTATCATGACTCACGATCTGCCAGAGACAGTTCAGAGCACCCATCCGCGGGAGATGAATATATCCGAGAACGAGGCCGCTTCGAGGACTCGGAAGACGGCGCTTCAGACGACTTCTTTCGGAAACGCTTCCATCCATTAAAGTTCGTTAAAGCCAGGGATAGCCGGGGAAATTCCGTCGACATGCGAAATACATCTGAATTGAGCTGCGGTAGAGACTCGCTTCCAGGCCTGGTTCCGTTATATGCTGATGACGATGATGTAGTGATTTGTGTAGATCTACAATCGAAACTCTTTCCATCCACTTTCTCGGAGCGTGGAGGTTATTTGGAGAGGAGACTTGACTCTCGCTCACAGGTTAAGTTGAGTATTTTTTCGATGAAGACAATGTAATGACCGAGGTCATATACCTTATATCTTTACGTATTCACGCGGAAACGAAACACACAGCGCGGTCGAGCCCGGATCAATACGGCTGACCGGAGATGGTCTGATCAGAGGTCGGCTCAGTAGGGAGGGATCCAGCTCACAAAGAAGAAGATAATTTATATAACATTCTTGGGAGTTTAAAAATAACTTAGACAGTGAGTCGGAATATTCGTCGATTGTCGCTGTCGACAGCCGGAAAAGTAAGCAGTCGATGTCGACGCGGAAAAACCGCACCGGATTCACGAGTATTTTCCGAAAATTCGCAAAACCTCACCGCGGGAATCAAACCATAGGCAGGTAATGAATAGGTTTAGGAAAGAGGACAGGTTGAAGAGTCCGAAAGATTTCGAAGTTCGGTCAAGGGTTGACGCGACCGATATTCGGAACCTCGTCTTTGTTAGGGCACTGTGCTGTGTCCTGTATGTCGGAGTTCGAGTGGGGTCCCAATTCCGGACCTGCTCGAGGAAGTTGTATGTAATGTAAAATAGCTGAAAATAAAACATGGGGAAGAAACTCAAAACCAAGCATCTTTCCCTCAGCTGTGGCACTGAGGTTTCGTACTTGAGTAAATCTTCGGAAAAACTACGGTAAGCCGGAAGCTTGCAATGCGTGACGATATCAACGGAGTGAGCAGTTTCCTTCATGATTCATGACCCTTCCTTCGCCTCATTCTCGAATCTGAGGACTTCGGAGGTGCGAACGTAGGCATACCCTCCCGTTCTAGCCGGTGCGGCGCCGAACGACGGGCCGGTGCCGGCGTCGTAGTGCCTGACTCTCGACGGGCATCCTTCACAGCAACGTACCTGTCCTAGCATTATTTCTCCGAGGAATCACTCGAAGCGGCAGTAAGATCATAAAACTGTCATTGCTGATCTTTTCTCACTCACAAGGGAAGTTCCCGACATGATGAGCGAGTTGGGAGCGGAAACTTGGCTGAAATCTTGTTCTACTCGAGACTGGAAAAAGCCTAGAATATTACGTCCTTATGAGCAGTTTTGAAAATTTCGGTAATTCCCCCATGGAGCCCATTCGTACGTCATTGTGAATCATTGGGAACTTGCAAGGAGCCGTACCAAGACGTACGAATGGTCTATGGGGGAATTACCGCAATTTTCAAAACTGCTCATAAGGACGTAATATTCTAGGCTTTTTCCAGTCTCGAGCAGACTAAGATTTCAGCCAAATTTCGGCTTCCAACTCGCTCATCATGTCGGGAACTTCCCTTGTCAGAAATTGAGCTCTGCCGGCTCGCTTCACTACCCCAAGCTGTCGTTTCCGCGCCCGAAAGTCCGAAAAATATCAAAACCGAAGAAACTTAATTTCCGAATCTGACGTCCAGAAATCCGCCAAGTCCGCGATGGCCTCCCACAGGGTAGGGCTGGTTTTCTTTGACCTAGGTCTCACGTCTTCCGTCGAGGCACTACGAACGGAGGTTTCCTCTGAACCCCGGGGAATTTTGGGGGAATGAATCTCTCTTGCGTTTCACTGCGCCCTTATCGACGGCGAATATTTAAATAATTTAGAGACAAGTTTCTTGGAATGTTTAATCTCTGATTGTGATGTTCGGAGCGAAGGTCCTTATTCGTCAAACAGGAGAGGCAGCTCTTCGGATCTTCATCTTTCCCCGTGGATCGCATCGCTGCGAGTACGCAAAGCCATTGAGCCCGTCTCGAAGACAGCAGTCCTACCCCTCCAGTTCTTCGAGACGGTCGAAAGCACGACACTATTTCGCGTTTTGCGACCCTGTCACCTCTGGGGAGAGTCTGAAGCGAAATAAAGTTGCATGAAAGTCGAGCGAATGAGCCCTTCGTGAATGCCGCCTCCTTCTCTGTAACGCTCAATTCTTCCTCGATGCCTCACCCAAGACTTCATTTTTCATCGACATCTCAGACCGGGCCGTCGAACGAAGTTCCGGAATCAGTCGTAGACGTGAGATATCGCCAGGCCCAAAGTCCAACTGGCATCCGCGATTTCGACCCGTCTCACGAACTACAGATAAGATGGTTCGCAGTCAGCAAAGTTGGACCAATGCACGTGAATTCTTTGAGCATCCTCGTGGGCGAAAAATACGAGAACTTACGACGAGCTCATCTTCATCATCCAAGGAATAGCCCTGGGTGAATAGCGCATACATATAAGTCAATTCGAAACAGATGCTCGCAGCGCCTCTCCTGCGGTCCTCGCAGGCTGGAAATGACGATATCCTCGTGAGAATTCGATGCTTATTCCACAAGATCAGGTACGCGAAGACGTTGATACCATTTGGCATGAATCTCTAATCTACTGAACCAACCAGCTCTAGCTCTCGATCCGATGTACAGGACTTTGATAGTCTGTCTATTCTCGTGCTCTTGGATGAGATTCGCATAGACGGCGAAGTTGAAGAAGAATCCCCGGACGTAGATTGTTTTCTTCCGCAGGTCGGGCATCGGTTCAACGCCCACGTCGTCCAGGTGATTTTTTACAGCTTCCAGACATTCCATGAATTTGGGTCTATCGGGAGAAATGATGAGGATTGGAGCGATGCCTCGTCTTCACATTCGAACTCAAGGCCCTAATCTGTATAAGTCATTGATGGATTGATAATTTGGGTTGCATTTCACGAAAAACATACCCTGGTGCGCTGTGGGAATCGCAGGTTCCTGGTCGCGACTTCCCTTTAAGAAACTGACCCGGTTTGCTATTTCTAGCGGACTTTCTGATCGAAAAGAATTCCCATGGATATCATTTTCTCGATTCGAACAGCCCAGATGCTTTGTCTTACCGAGAATCTCGGTGCGTGCATTATCTATCCCGAGACGTTCATAATTTGCGACGTAAAGGTCCACTCGTTTCCGGAAACGATCGAAAGCCGTCGTCGCATTCATGGTTTCTGGGACGAAGCAGATCTGGCATCGGTATCGACCAAGATTCAGAACCGCGATGTGATTCCCTCTGGTATTTCGCAACAGGGAGATCGCTGACCAGGTGTACGCCACTGAGGGAAAGAGTTGTCAAGGGGATCGATTGAGATGTTCGGAGATTCTTCCAAGGATACAGGCTCTAGGCCTTACCTCACCTTCTTGCGTTTCATTGATGAAGACCAAGTGAGCTTTATGGAAGGGTGACGATCGAGCTCGGAATAGCAAGCGATAGATCATACCGAACAATTGCTCGATACGAGGATCGTTCTCTCGCTGCAGGTGGTGGAAAAGCTCGGTTACTCCGAGTGAAACGGTTGACACCGCCTGATGAGACTCGGGAATCGCGTTGATGGCTTGCTCGAATAATAATCTGTCAGAAACACACATCATAAGCATACGACAGCCATTCGATGAGACTGCTAATCGAAGTACTGAGAAGTTCGGGAGCTCACTTAAGGCTATAGACACCCTCGCGCGGAGAATCGATGTAGTCGAGTAGACCCGGCGAGGTGGATCCGTACTCTTCGGCCAGCAGATTCCAATAGCCTTCTCTCCAGTCCAGTCGGAAGAGCTGTACTCGCGTACTGTTTTCCCTAGCTTCGAACACGACGCTATAGCTTGTGTTCGACGAAGGGTACGTCAGGGAAATTCATCGTGTCCCATGTGTCGCCTCCGAAAAAGACAGCGGCTGGCATATGATACTCACAGCGATACTCACCGGGACTCGCGCCGATCTCGAGTGAAGTGAACCACGATAGAGACAAAACTGATGAAGATGATGATCATATACACGAACCATGAGATTCGGGGCTGTCGCCACCATCGGAAACCACCGCCATCCGAAGGATCGATCTGTCGGAAGAATGAATCGCTTAACTCCGAAAATATTGCAGTCAGTCCGTTGAATCAGGGACTCCATTCAACTCTCTCCCGAACACGAAGACACACCATGTCATCAGAAGACTCAAATTCACCAATCAGCAATTGATCGAAGACTCGTGTTGATGCTGGCCGCCCCGGTATGACACCCGGTGGAATGAAATTCGGCGCTCGTCAATGGCTTCCTCAAGCGAGAGAGGGAGCACAGACCAGAATGCCTAATCCTAGATTATGCTGGAAGTCTACAACAGAAACGCTCAATATTGCTAGATACTCCAACTTGCGATCAATTCGGCGTCCGACTCGTCGTCAACAGAATGACGCAAATCGTTACGACTCTGAATGGTAATCTGTGAGACCGACGTCGAGCACAATAGAGGGGAGCTTCACGTACACTGTATCGTCATATCAGAACCTCGATCGTGACGAAACTACGAGACCATCACCTCCTCTCGACTCGTGGTCGAGCAGTGTTCCTTGGTCTAGCACTCATGGCCGAATCTCATGTGTTCTTTCATCCGAAGAAGAATAGCACCATTCTCGTTTGCAAGGCGGGAACTCGAAAGCTAAATGGCTTGAGTGTGTTCTGCGGAGTGATCCGAGTTGAGGAGCCGTGAATGCCAAGCCGGAACGATTCGAGGGCTCCATGCTTCCCATTCAGTCAATGATACGGAGAAGCCACGGACTTACGGGAGATCGTTGCGTGCTCAACCTGGCGAACTCGCATCCAGCAGCTGATCGCGAACAAAAGGAGAGATCGGAGATAGCCATACCCATTGAACATGTGCGCTGTGCTTCCCCGATCCCATCCTTGGGTCTCCTGGTCCGATGCATTATATAGGAGAGGAATCACTGCCCGTGGTAACGCGAGCCGAACGTATCGCGCAGTTCGACGGGGTCTTTATTTACAGATATCTCATCATGACACCCGTCCTCCTAAACTCTTTTTGGAAATACTACTGACTATAACTATGTTTTTGAACTTCCGAGGATTCACTCAGCACTCGAACATGTCTCGACAAAATGATCGGAGCGAATCTTTTGATTATTTCTCCTCCGCATCGGGCGTCTTGAGGTGTCCAAGCCATTCCGGAAATGACTGAATGTGACGAGTCTCGCCAGCAGAATTCACGAGTATGTGGCCTCTCTTCGCGTTCATTCTCCGACTTCTCGAGAAGCGAGACGGAGTCGAACCTCGCTACGTATCCATTTCATTCGTCGTTGAGAGGGGTTTCCCACTCACGCACATTTGGCCTCTAGACCCTAAACCAAGGCTGATTCGAAGGTCTTATACTCTATTCCGTTGATTCGAAATCGATCTGTCTGTTTGCATCAGGAGTTGATAGCAGCTCTACGACTATACAGGGAAAGACTTCTCAGCGGGATTCGGCGAGCCTCAAGTCATCATCCATACATTGGATAGTATGGCATGGGCTGCGCGGGTTGCATCATATTATAGTGGGGATACATGGGATAGGAAGGATAACCCATCCCCAGGAATGGTGTGACCCCATAGCCGCCGCCATAGCCGCCACCGTAGCCGCCATAGCCGCCACCGAATCCACCACCGAAACCTCCGCCGAGGCCACCGTAACCACCGAGGCCACCGTAACCGCCGTATCCTCCCATTTTTTTCATCATCATTTTCATCATGCCGTCACTGGGATCTAGCAAGAGTATGGCGCACATGAGCAGCAGACATTTTTTCATTCCCACGTTTTGCCTGCAAAGCGAGTTAAGAGGATAATAATGATGATAAATGATAATATTCGATCGCCAGGAAATCCGAACTCAACATGGGGCGGTCGTTTTCTCCAAAGACCGATAAAGCATATCCTGATGCGAACATAAGAAAAATCTCACCACCGGAGGAGGTCCTCGGAATTCACAGAACAGTCGTATCTCACCGAGCCGTCACTACAAGTGATCGATGCGCCCCTCGGCCGAATATATAAGGGGCGGCGACTGCAAGAGAAAACGGCTGAAGCAAGCCAGATATCGAGTGTGCAATGTTATTTTTGTTATTGCTGTTCTTTCTGCAAATATAGTCGACATTGTCTGTAGTGGTAGCGAAAATGGAAACGCGCCCGTCGTAGAGCTCTTAAGAATGAGTCTTAGCTAATATGAGCTCGACGAACCGCGTCTGGGCGACTGCTCTTCATTTGCATAGACGCGAACAAGACACTGAGCTTTGTTTCATCGCCCAGATTGCGAATTATTGAATATAGGTCACGTCTCAGAAGCGGAACACACGCAGAACTCTGTTGCCTCCATAGCTGACCTCGCCCCTGACTGTGTTGTGGCATCTTGTTTATTATTCTGAATGAGATCAGATTCTCTTTTGGAATCGGCGAGTCCGAGAAGCTACCCGTCTCGTGGTCGAATTGTATGAATTGCGGTGTTGTCGCTAGAATTTGGTACTCGGTTTGAGTTGTGCCGCGATCGTTCGGCTTGACCTCGGGGAAGTCATCTATTTGAAAATAACCTCACTCGAACATCCATTGTCAGGGCGAGAATACAGAAATTCGAAATTTATTCATCCCCTAGTAATCTTGCACACAATAAGACTCATGAATGAAGAGGGAGCGTTCCCTTCTCTATTCCTCGATCGTCAATCACCGAGGAGACACTCCGGGGTAGGGTCGCGCACAGGATTTTCGTTGGGGGGGGGACACTAGACTTTTGGAGGGGGCCGAGACGACCGAAAAATAGATGACGCGCCTTCTCGGGGTCTATACTTTAGCATTGAAACCGAAGGATTTTGGTAGGGGCCATGGCCACCTTACCCCCCCCCTGTGCGCGCCTCTGCTGCGGGGAGAAATCTCGAGGAAGGTATCCATCACATCTATATACAGATTGATTCTGATCGTCGTCGGTACTACTCATCGTTCTTAGCGAAACCCACGTCTCGTATTTATCACGACCCCTGTGACTTGATGAGAATCAGACTCTTATTAGAGGACAGGATGGAGATCCAGACTAGATAATGAAGTAACTCTCGTATATTCAGAAGTACCGGCGCAGCGCGGTGAATCAATAATAAATAATCGAGATGGAAGGGTATCAATGAGGAAGCGGGGGTCCGCTCCAATCGAGGGATCAAGGCACGTGCTCCCCTCCGATCGCAGAAGACCGTCTCTGAGGCTCTGGAGAACTCTCTTCCGTCGCCACCGTACCGTCGCTTGAATCGACCGATATCTGTCGAGCTATTCTTCCGTTCGCATCTGATGCCTGGAATGTGGAGACCCCACTTGTGTCTAATTGTGGAGCGAGCGCAATGGCGCGCTGTGGAGCGTCTGAAATGTTTACTTCTCAGAAAAATTCCTTTCCACAGTGGAGCTCACCTCTCATGATCGCAGATGGGCTCTCGGCAAGCGGAGCGGCGGTGGTGCTGGCGGCTGTTCCTCCTCCATGCTGATGCCCCTTCGGAGGGAGGTGAGTTTCGCCTGGCGTTTCCACAATAGGATAACGACTAGGGCTATCAGGATTATTTGGGCTGCTACCACCAAGAGGAGTCGATCCGTGTGATTCCAGAAATTGAGTCTGGAAGGTAAAGACTATCGGGAGGTCAGAGAAGGTGGTGATTCGGGGGGATACTCGAATGGAGCACATCCGAAAATCGATGTCATCGAATGATGAATCGACTCACCGAGCTCCGGTCGATTTCTGGCAATACAGATTCGGTTGGGGAAGAACAGTCATCGGGCGAGCAATTGGACGGGACTGAAGTTATGTCCGCCGAGCTCAATGTCTCGATCTGATTCTCGCGGTCCTTATTCGATTTATGTGTCGAGAGAACAGGGAAACTCGGTCCCGAGGCGCTCGGCTTCACCTTGTCCTGAACTGTTTTCATTGTCGGAGACCCACCGGGATCCTCCGAAAAGTTCGGAGAGAGCTGATCACCGATGTCCGTTTCCTCGACGTTCGGTTGAGACACCGACTTGTCGGACAGTCCCCCGAGCGGAGTGATCCCTGTCACGTCCATGGAGGTACTGGTCATTCTCGATGATTTGGACCCGGCCGCTGCCGACTCCGTAGTGATCCCGTCATTCGGACGCATTGCGTCTGCCGCGGTCGGCCCTTCATGACCCGTCGAGTCGACTGCGCTCACCGGACGGGGGGTTCCCGTATTCATCGTCTCCTCGCCATTGCAGAGAGAAGTCCCGCTTGTGATTCCAGAACCCGAACTCTGCGTGACAGAAGTGCGAGAATTCGGATCCGATGACACGGGTTCCCCCGCGATTCTCCCATCGCTGGTCGGGCTCTCGGCATCACCTACTGTTGTGCCCGAAGTGTCTGTTACGATTCGATTAACGTCTGAGGCATCAGAAGAGACTTCAGTCGGAGGCGTTATGAGTTCCGGGGAATTCTCTCGAACGCGCGCTCCCGCAATCGACGCTGGTGTGGTGCTCACGGTGATGGGACCGATTGATGATTCAGCCCCATAGGCGGTGGGATACATCGCGCTTCCCAAGTGATCCACGGGCGACGTTCCCGCATTCTCAGAGATTTGTATTGGAGGCGTGCTTGCCTCATACACTTCAGACGTTAGATCCTGCACATGGGACCATATTATCGGCACGGTCTCCCCGGTTTGAAAAATGACTGTCGGAGTGGATGGGGAGCCTCCATGCTCAGGTGCTCTTGATTCCCTAGGGAGCCCGTCTGAGTACCCTTCTGTGGGGAGCGAGTCACTCCCTTGTTCCTCCGCCGGATGCCTCGAGCTTGGGTCTATGCTACGAAGTGTTGATCCATTCTCGTGAGTAGATTGTTCCCCATCGTAATCCGCGTTCCCAACCGTGCTTTTTCCATTCCGTGATTCGCTTACGTTCCATTCTGAAGGGGAGGGCGAGGAGTCTTCTTCTTTTGGCTCGGGGCTAGTGATGCTCTCATTGACCTCATCCTTACCGTCTACAGTCGGGGCTCCCGGTGATGTCGCGTCCGAGTTCGCCTTCGCGGTTATCCCGATGAGGTTTTGGGCTGATGGACTCGGGGCGTATCCATCAATTACCGTCGATACGCTCGAGGTGCCAGCTGACCAAGCCATAGTCGTGCTCGGGTTCGCAAAATCCTCGTCGGGCGGGGAATTTTTCGGCGATAGACTTCCGGGACTCGCCGAAGCGTTGACTCCATCGTCTATGGCATACCCAGTC